TGATAACCACCAGGTGGCACATTCAGTCCACTCAACCACAGGTAAAACCATCAGGAAGAGACAGGAAAATAATGGGGAGAAAAAAATCTTAAATCACACATGCATGCGTGCACACACATCCTTGTAATCTTAGAGCCATACAATGCAATATCCACCACTGTGAATGTGTTAGATCTATCTATGCTAATATGGAAACATCTACTAGATAATCTCACGCAAAAAGAGCAAGGCTGGCATAGGGCATAAAGTATGCTCTAATTTATGTTAAAATGTTAAAGATTTTATATGTACTATATATATATATATATATATATATATATATATATAATTTCTGGAAGGATACAAAAAAAAACAGTGGTTACTTCTTGGGAGAGTACGTAAAGTCAAAGGCTAATGTTTAGCTGGTATGCACATTATTGAAATATTGAAGTACTGCCATACTAGTTGTAAGTACACATTGTCCAAGGCCCTCAAATGTCCTCCCTGTCACCTGGGTTGCCCAACTCTTCCTCCTGGCACCCCCAGACTTCCTCATGATTCGGTAACTAAGAGGTTAATGCCTAGCATATGGGGTAGGAGTGGAGTCCTCCAGGACGTTCTTCCAGCCTTGTAGCCCATGTCTATTCTGATTATTTGATAACCTTGTCTTACTGATTGTTAAATATTTTGAGCATCATCTTCATGGGTATTTGGAGGGAGAGGCCTTTACTTTTTGAGCAAAAGAATACACACCATGGCACAGTTTATAATAGGAAAAAAAGGAAAAACTTTCATCAATAAAACTGGCTTAAAAATGTAAATGGGAAAAAATGCAAAATGAAAGAAAAAAGCAAAGAAAAAATACAAAGAGTTTGTTCCTGTTTATGGACAATTATGTAAATCTATTTCTTTAGACTAGAGAACATTCTAGAAGACCCTAACTAAAATATTTTCAGTGGTCTTTTCTAGTTGTTAGTATTTTGAATAAATTTTACTTCCTTCAGATTATAATTTTCTTTGCAATCAGCCTATTTTAACACACACACACACACAGAAAGTAAACCTATTCACTACCTAAAGTTAGAAAGAAAAGCTTCTGTAAACAAAATACCACCAAGGGTCATTATATTCCTAAACTCAGTTATCAGGTTTTGAGAACCTAATGTGTGCAAGGCAGTGAGCCAAGAGCTTCGCTGACATGGTCTCATTTCGTGTGCAGGTTTGCCCAGTGAGGACTGAACTCCCACGTGCCCATTTTCCAGATGAGCAAACGCCGACGCACGAAACAAAGTTAATTTCTTGAGGTCCCACAGCTGGTAAGCAGAGGAATCTATATGCAAAGTCAGTCCCACGTAACTCCAAAGCTCAAGGAAAATTTTAGTAAACAATGTTGTGGAGGAAGAAAATCATAATCCTGACATTCTAGCCCAACTTGTCATTTTTAAATATATTCTTCTCTAACCCTTTTCCGTGTAGGCACATACTTTTACATAATTGTATCCCCTGCACACATACCATCTTATAGCTTTGTGCATGAGCATTTTTTCATGTTTCCACAGGCTTTCAAGTGATTAATTAAAATCTATGTAAAAAAACTCCATTGATTGTAACATTTTGGCTTTTTCATTCCTTTGGCCGCCCTTCATCACATCACGCTCCCTTGAAGGAGCACGTACCCACGCCGTTCTCCCACTAGCCGTTTCACTACCCAGTGCACAAGGTGGCTCAGAGTACCCCAACAGGCTCGAAGAGACTGGCGCGCGAGGGGAAAGTACGCGACATGCGCGTAAGGAAAGACGTGCGCGTGCCGGAGGCCTGCGCCTGCGCAGACTCGCAAGGCTGAACCCCGCGGCCCCCTGCAAGTCCGCCAGGCTGGTTCTAGTGGTGGTCTCTGCGACAGTCCCTGGAGTTTATGTGTCAAGAGGCGGGACTGGAACAGCCCCTCCTTGATGCGGAGGGCCCGCAGGCGCTGCTTCAGTTCTATCCGCAAGTTCTGCTAGGCTCCGCTCGCACACGCGGATGTGGGCGGTCCCGAGGTCCTCTCGCGGCGCCGGTGGTGCTTCGGCCTCTTATTTTAATTTTAATTTTTAATATTATCTATAATATTGTAATGGCCGTTACATTTTTGCAGTTTCATCCTTGGATCAGTTTCTCCTGGTTGAGCAGGTCCCTGTGGTTATAATCACCCAGTTTGTAATCCAGCAACAAGTATTTATCAAATAGGCGTTTTGGACAAGTTGTTTTGCCAGGCCCCGTGAGGGCACAGAGAATGACATGACAAAGTCCAGGCCTTAAGAATGGCACAATCCGGACAGGCAGGCAAGAAATGGAATAGGGAGGGCAGCTGGTTGCTGGGAGCTGGCCCGCCTTCGCCTGTCACTTCCTGCCTCAGGATTGGCCCCCGCCCTCACGGGAAGCAGACACCCCGTCCTAAGCGGAAGCAAAGCTACTGTTTTGCTAGTGTTGCAGCCTCCTTTCAGATTGTCACCTCAATTCTAACCCCTGTGGCATTGTCTTCTCACTGGGGTGCTCCACCCCATCTGCTTCCCTGATCTCATCTCCCTAAGATCTCCTGGCTAGGGCCCCAAACACCAGGGAGCACAAACAGACAAGGCGGCCCTGTCATCTGATGTTCAGGTCTTTGCTGTTTATCCATCCTGTTGGCCTCCTTTCTAGCCCTAATTTCTACTCCACACCGTACCCTGGGCTCAGTCCACCTGCACATCCTACCTTTCCTCAAGGTATTGTCTCTTGTCCTGGCTCCACAGCTCACTCAGTTCCCTTCCTGAGACGACCCTAGTACCTGCACACTTTCCGAAGGCAAGGTGCAAAAGTTCAGTATCCCCAGCATCTAGCATGGTACTCACAGCAGGAGCTGTAAGTATGTGTGCTCTTAAGTGAGCATGTATAGGTGTCCCAGAGTCACTTCATGACTTTGAGCCTAACTTTTCCTCATCTGTAAAATGTATTTAACGTTACAGTCCCATTTAGCTCTAACTGGGTATCTCAAGCATCAGTCACGTTAGAAAAAAGGTTTTTCATTTTTCAGCTGATTCTTAAGCAAATTTATTTCAGTAAACTAATGGAAACCAGTCACTGACAGAAATTTGTGTTAAATCTATCATTATAATGCTTCTGTTGGTCTCTTGGCTCTCATAGCATTTTTGGTGTTAATTTTCATTTTTATCAAATAATCCACAGACATTTCAAAATAAAATTGTACTAAAAATTCATTAATGAAATGTTACAATTTCTTCCCCACCCCTCTTTTTGGTTCTGTTCTTCAGTGTGCTCTCCAGAGATTCACTAGAGACAATTATTTTCAACTCTTTTAGCTATTTTTTTTGGAACTTAACTTCATGCTTCTAAATAACTTGTCTCTACTCTGTTAATTTTTCAATTTTAAACATTCTCTATTGACTTCCTGCTATTAGTAGCTGAGGATTTCACATATTCATTCGCCTGCCATTGCCCTCCCACCAGTTGTAGTCACAATTCACTTTTTAGTTAAATCAATATATATTTACATAAATATGTGTATGTACCTTACTATGATTATATCTGCTTTCCTATACAATTTTTTTAACCTGGAGTAATTATATAATTTTTCTTTTCTTAGGTTTTTATGTTTCTATTGCTAAATTTTCTGTTTTTTATTAGAAATGCTCTGTGACAAATTACCACAAATTTAGTGGCTTAAAACACCAGTTTATTATCTTATAAATCAAATAAAGGTGTTGATAAGACTCTAGGGAAGAATCATTTTCTTTCTTTTCCGGTTTCTAAAGGCTGACCACTCTCCATGGCTCATGACACTTTCTAGATCACTTCTACCTGACCATTTTCTGACTGACTCTCCCACCTTCCTTTTATAAGGATGCTTGTGATTACCTTGGGCTCACACTGATAATCCAGATAATCTCTCCATCTCAAGATCTTTAACTTAATCACAGCTGTAAAGCTCCTTTGGAACAACAACAAAAAAATCTATATTCACAGGTTCCAGGGATTAGAACATGGATGTTTAGTGGGGGAAGGAGTATTATTTGACTCAGCACCAAGAAAGACCTCCACAGGGAAGCCCAAAGACCTGTGAAATGCCTATTAGTATTATTAGATGATGTACCAGTGTCAATTTCTGAGTCTTGGGGTCTTGCACATGGGATACGGTTCCTTCTAGTGCATACACATAGGCTGTAGCCTTTTATGGTATGTGAAGGGAGGAAGCTATTGTGCCAAACATGTATTAATGTCACTTGGGCAGTACTGTCTCCTCTCTCATTCTCTTTATGAGATTAAACCTCTTTTAATCCTGAACTCTGATTTTAGTGGAGTTCTGGAAAGAAAAGGATAATCAAGTGTGATCATGTTTATCTGGTAGTTGTCTTTCATGCCAATTTATAGGGGTTTTTGTTTTTCTTTTTATGGAGCCAAGAAGGAAGAGTTTTGACTGTAATTCAGGCAGGTGGCCAGGAAAAAAACTGGGAGAGCCAGTTTAATTTGAGTAACAGAGCTAATTTTCCAGAACATTCTGTGCATGACCTGCTGTAGGAATTTCTCTTCACTTTAGAGAGAGCTAGTGTGACCTGATGGAAGAGCAAGGGCTTAGGAGTCAGGCAGACTTAGGTTTGTTCCCAACTCTGCAACTTGCTATCTCCATGACCTCTCTGATCCTCATTATCCTCACCTGTAAAATTGGGATCAGAATAATTGATTACTTTTTGTGTGCCTGGCTCACAGTAAACACTCAGTTATGACAAGTTAATACTTTCAAGCCAAGCCTACTGGGTGGCAAAGGATGAGGTGTGATTCTGTAGTCAAGACCCTGTACCAGATCAAGAATCTACCATGTACCAGCTTCCAGAATCTACCATCTGTGCTTCGGGCCTTCCCTGGGTTCTTCCCAACTTGTCTCTAAATATTGTTGCTTTGACTCTAAATGGTGTAACTCTCTGTTTTTTTCCCCTTGATTCATTGAGGGCCTCCTGACCTAGAAGCCAAGACTGCCCCATATTCCTGCCATGTACCCCAGCCCTCTCGTCTACTGCAGCTGCTGGGACCCTTGCAACTTGGGACCACGGAAGCTAATCAAGACACCTCAGCCACCAAGAAAGACCTCCACAGGGAAGCCCAAGTAAGGATTACCTGGGATAGACTATGGCCTGGAGACTTGGGGTCCATCGACAGCCTTCTTTCTTTCACAAGATTTTCAAAACAATTTGGTAGCAAAAATCCCAAGAGGGCCAGAAAACCTAGTTTTGCACAGCTTTCCCTGCCAGCCTATTAGCTGTTCATTGCTCTTGCCAGTCCTGCCTAGGTTTAGTGTCATTGTAAATGAGGGCATTGCAGAGTTAGTTGAGCAGAGAAAAGGGGGCTTCCAACCAAAGGGACCCATGGCAGCTACCCCTCCATGAGGGATGAAGAGCTTTGGGAACTGGAAGATGATCTGTGCCGCCAACCCAGGGACCCCCCAGAACAGTGAACAAGTGCTAAGGCATTCAGCCTGAGGTTGCAAAAAGACTGTCCATTATCAGCCATGTATTCCAATTTTGGGTCTATGGGCTGATCTACCTACTAAAACAGGCTTCTGAATTTCCAATTTTCTCTTTTATTTTTTTTGCTATTAATTTTTTCCTTTCAGGCTAACTCTTCCTCCAGCTTCAAAAAAACAAAATTATGTCCAACCAACAACAAAACCTATTGTCTCCCCAAAGTAAGTATTGCACATCCACGGGTTGGGAATGATTTGAAGTATGTGAATACAACAATCTCTCTCCTTGGCCTTCACACCCTTGCCTGACTTGAACTAATTGCTGACAGAAAGGTCAGAGAATTGCCAGAACCTACCGTAATTTTCCCCTAACCTCAGATCCTACATATAGATTCTATGGCCCTCTGTACCCACAGCATTCAAAATCACTACAAATGAGCTCTCATCTGAGGTGCCCTGACAATGGTTTCCCCAAAAGGGTACACTGCCTGATTCCTGTCACAGGCAAAGAACCTCCCTCCCATTGGTGGTATTTATCCTTTTACTGATTACTTTCTTCTGTCTAAGATTTTATATAAATTACAATTCAATGTTTACTTATGTATTTAAAGTTTTGCCCACATTTTATAAACTCAGAAGTTTAACTTAGTTTTATATCTTCCATGAGTCTTTGTATTCCACTTGTTTATTTATTTGGTAAATATTTATTGAGCATCTATTATTTGCTAAGCAGAGTTTCAACAATGTTGTGGGGAACAGCCATGAACACAACAAAGGCTCTGCTTTCTTGGAGCTTACAGTTATTTATGTATGGAGATCAGGGAAAGTCCCTCTATAAAGAGGGCAGCAGAAACCACCCTGACATCTTGGCCAAATACTTCTGGCAGAGGAAGCAGCAAGTTCAAAGGCTTTGAGTGGGAACTTGCTTGGCACATCTGGCCTATTCCAGGAAAGCAAAGAGGCCAGTGTGGTTGGAATGGAGAAAGTGAGGATAGAGTGGTGGGAGATGAGCTCAGAGAAGTAGCAGAGACATGAATGTGTTTGGCAGAATGATGGTCCCCCAGAGAGCTCCATATCCTAATCCCTGGACACTGTGACCATATTCTGTTACTTGCCAAGGGGAAATTAAGATTGCAGATGGAATTATGTTTGCTAAACAGCAGACTTGAGGTGTTTAGATCATCCTGGATTATCTAGCTGGGCCTCATGTAAACATAAAGGTCCTTATATGTGAAAGAGGAAGTCAGAGTGTAAGAGGAAATGTGACAACAGAAGCAGAGGTCACAGAGATGTAATTACTGGCTTTGAAGATGGAGGAAAAGGCAAGGGACAGATTTTCTCTTAGAGCCCACAGGAAGAATAAAACCCTCCCAACACCTTGATTTCAGCCCAGTAAGATGACTTTGACCTCTAAAACTGTAAGATAAACTGATATTGTATAAATCAACTAAACCTATAGTAATTTATTACTGTAAGTTTATTAGCAGCAATAGGAGATTTATACAGTGAAGCTTGCTGGCCACTGTGAAAGGACTTTGGCTTTTACTCTAAAAAGGGGTGCTGTATCATCTTGTAGTGTTGCCATAACAACAACAAAAAAAGATTGGGTGGCTTAAGCAACAGAAATTTATTTTCTCACAGTTCTAGAGCCTGGAGTCAAAGACCAAGGTATTGGCAGGTTGGTTTCCTCTCAGGACTCTCTCCTTGGCTTGCAGATGGCTGTCTGCTTGCTGTCTCTTCACATGGTCTTTCCTTTGTATGTGTCCATCTCTGGGTCCTCTCTGTGTATCCCCATATGTCTTATGAGAACACCGTTAAGATTGGATTAGGGCCCATCCTAATGGCCTCATTTTATCTAAAGGCCTTATCTCCAAATAGTCATATTCTGAGATATCAGAGGTTAGGGCTTCAACACATGAATTTGGGGGTGTGGGACACAGCTTAGCCCCTAACAGCTGGGAAGCCATCAGAGGATTCTAAGAAGAGTGACATGATCCAACTTGCATTTTTGGAAAGACTAATTTGGCTAGTGATGAACACTTCGTGGATGTTTTTAAAATTCTCTATCAAACACCTGCTGATTGTATCTATAACTTCCCAGGAAGATTCTTCAAGGCAAATTATTCTCTGCCTTCTTCTAAAAACAATTCAAAGAACCTCCGCTTGGTCATTGTAGTCTGTCCTGGGCTCCATGTCAGCTGGCCTCCAAGTTCTGCCTAGGTAGCACTTGGGAAGGCAAATGGAGCAGCCAGGCACAGGAGGGCCCACTGCTCTCATTCTTGGGAAGAGGCTCAGGTAGACATCGACATGACCTTCAAATGGGCATAGGAAGAAACTGCTCACCAATCAACTCTTAACTTGGGTCTGTCCTCAAACATGCCATCTCAACTCTCTGAATTACATCCTGTTTGTGAATCCTCTAATTTTCTTGCAAACATATAATATGATTTTTGTATAAAGTTTTCAATTCTTAAACATGAACTATAACTCACCTGTTGTAACCATGTTTCAGCAGTTCTTGGGAATTTTTGTTTTTATTTTTTATGATATCAGGAGCCTTGAAAAATGGCAGGAGCTGGATATTCTCAACCCCTGAGAGACATAATTAGCAAATCACTTTATCTGCAGTTCTCCATGGCACTTAACTCTTTTTCTTCTATTTTCAGTATTTTGGTGCCTTTTTCTCTCTTATACTCATTCCAGTTCTCTTGGTACAAAGCACTGTGGTTTGCATATATTAACCACTCATTGAATTCATTAAATGAGAAAATGTTGATTGATGTCAACAAAGTGTCAAAATTAGGTCAGTGTAATTGGAATAATGTGAGTAAGAGGTTCACAAAGGACAAAAAGAGTAAAGATGAGTCAGTCTGGATTGATCTTACCTTTTACTTTTCAATGAGAGAAACCCAATTATCTGACAAAATGAGTATCTATGTAGTCACACTCTGACCATTCCAGAAGTTCTAAAGTTAATGCAATGCTGTGGAAGGTCTCAGTTTGCTCAATGAGATTTACTAAGAGCAAAAAAATAGGACATAAACTAAAATCCATGGTCAGCTTTTTAAAAGAGACCCAGTGATTCCCAACAAGGCTTTCCTAAATTCAAAAGAAAACAGACCAAATTATCATTGTAGACATTTGAATTGGGAACATATGGTTTATTTAAGTTGCATTTAAATGGTTCTAACTCTTAAATTACATGTTGACCTTGCTGTATCATCAGTGTATATTGCTTACTCATGACTATTTTTTAACACATAGAATCTTTTTTTTTTTGCCAGTGAAAGTTAAACTCAAAGGTTGGTAGTCACATCTAAGGAGCCAAATCCTAGCAATGGTTTCCTCAAGAGAGTCCTGAGTGCCTCTCTGGAGGGCCCCTGAGGTCTAAACCAGACTGATGGTTACTGACTAAGATGGAACTGCTTCCACCAGGAAAAGTCCTCCCAACCCCACTCACCACATTCAGAGTCAGCCACAGATTGTGAACCTGTCCCACCCTGGCAACCAACTCCACAACACTTAATGATACCGTGGTAGTTTTGATTGTGGGTAAATGGAACATCCAGAGCAGGTTTCAGTTGTCTATACCACAGCAGCTGCCTATAGTATGTGTACATGTGTCAGTACACCAGTATGTTGATGCCAAGGGGAGAGGCCTCAACATCATATACCTAGACCTACCTGTTTTTGTCAGCACGTCAGAAAGTAATTACTCTTATACTCTTTCAACCTTCTAGATGAACTTCCTTATAAATACTCTTTTGGTGTTTGGATACCTGATATTATGCTCATGTTTCTGTACCTGAAGACAAAAATTCATTATGGTCAGAATTAGCACCAGATCTCAAAATAGTAATACTTTGCTTATCCTGAATTAACTTAACTGGCTATTTTAGAATCCTAGAACACCAAATTCTGGTGCAAATTAGAAGAAAGGCAGTTGTGTAGACAAAGTACGTATCATTAAAAAAATGTGTGCATTTGAGATTATGCACCACTCATAGGAGAGCCCTTTGGATCTTCACTCCAAGTCTCTTGGCCCTTATTTTAGAAATGGTTCTACTATTAGACTAGTGACTAGTTGATTTCCGACTTTTTTACTACCTGCCATTTTATCACAGCCTGTGTACTAATGATCCCTGGACCATTAAATATTTTCTGTTTTCCCTGGCTGGCATAGCTCAGTGGATTGAGTGTGGGCTGTGAACCAAAGTGTCAGAGGTTCAATTCCCAGTCAGGGTGCATGCCTGGGTTGCAGGCCATGACCCCCAGCAACCGCACATTGATGTTTCTCTCTCTATCTCCCTCCCTTCCCTCTCTAAAAATAAATAAATAAAATCTTTAAAATATATATATTTTCTGTTTTCTAAAGCGTAATATTTTGAGAGCTGAAAGGAGCCTCAGAGATCATCTCAGGAATTAAACTTTTTACAGATGAGTGGTGGGGTTAGGGCACAGCGCCTGAGCTTGGAACTTCTCTTTGTTCTCTGGTTGCTTCTGAGCACACCTTTCTCTTACAGTGTGAAAAGCCATTTAGGAAAACAAGAGGAGAGCAATAATTTACCTTATGTGAGTAAAAGTGGAAAGAGGGTGGTGGGATTACCAGTTATTGAGTACCTACTGTGTGTGAGCATGGGTCCTTTACACATACTTATGTCATTGAATCTTTGCAATGATCCTATGAGGAGGTGTCATGCCCTCCTCATAGTATGTGGCTGCTAAATATCAGGACCAGGACTCAAACTTGCCTCAACCAGACCCCAGAGGGTGTGTTTAATTACCTCTCTACTGCCTTGTGTAGGGCAAAGAGAGTGTTCCAGGGAAACCAGATGGTGGCAGTCAGTCCAGGCTGGGGGGCAGCTCATACCCAGATGCAGGGAACCCTCTGCTGCACTTGGAAATCTACAAGTGAAGAGTGAAGGGCCATCAGGGCATGTAGGGGAATAGGAGCAGGAGGTTCTGGAGAAAGAGATGGGTACCAATCCCTGAAGGACCTTGACACCTGCCTAGAAGTTTGAACCTGATCTTTTTGGTGTCCGGGAGCTTTTATGGGTCTGACACAGGCATGGGACCAGGTAAGATTTACATTTTAGAAAAAAAAAAAAACCTTTGGTGGGATATAATTGGTGCTTTTTACAACTTCCTGCTTTTATCTATTTTTTTTCTTTCTCCCCCAAACCTCTTAGAAAAGGATCATGTAATACCTTAATGGTAAGGAAAAAAAGTAAACAAAAATGTCATAGCCTTCCAGGAGGAGAGGATGATGAATTTAGGGGCACCAGACTGAAAGCAGAGAGGCTCACTGGGAAAGTATCCCCAGAGCTAAAAAGAGACAGACAGTGGTGGCCTCAGGCTATGTCAGGGCCAGGGGTGTGAAAGGATAGAATGAACATGATAAACATTTAGGAGGTAACAGTGGCAGGTCTTGTATCCTGCAGGGCTGTCCTGCACAACTCTAGAAGCCACAGTTGTTTCTGGGTTTGTGACAGCTGGTAGCCCTGCCCAGATTTGTTGTGACTTAGCAGCTAGCAGGGGACAGAGAAAGAGCTAACTTAAAAAAAATTTTTTTAACTGTGCTAGGCATTTTCTCATATGTTATTTTGTTTTATTATCACTAATCCCTTTGAGGAAGTTATTATCCTTATTGTCTGAAGAAAAAGCTGGGGCACAGAGATGTTGAGTAACTGTGGTTGGTGGCAGAGTTAGGATTTAAACTCAGTCCTGTCTAATTTTGAAAACTGAGTAATTTCCACAATATTCAGCTACTTCCAGGCTCCTGGCCATAATGGAGAATATAGAGGAGGAACAGGGCTAGGTGTAGAGTATGGAGTGGGTGTCAACGGTTATGTTTTGGATCCAGTTGAGTCTTGCAATTGGACCTCAGGAAAGAACTCTGGAGATATGAAGGTGAGTGGAAACTAGGAGATGGCATAGGAAGGACTTGGGTGTTGGACTCCCATTTCATCTCTGTGTTTTTAGATGTGAGTAGGGCACTAGCAGACTTGAAGGAATCTCAGCATGCTGCAATATTATCTTACCTTCCACCTTGATGCTCAGGAAGTAATCAACGTGTCACCTGGCTATCGCCTCTTTCGGAATAGAGAGCAAATTTCTGTCACCTTGGGAGATGAGATGTTTGATAGGAAAAAGCATTTGAAATCAGAGGTCATGGACAAAGTCAAAATTTCCAGGTAATGTCTTTGGGCCAACATGCAGCTCCTCAAACCTATCCTTGCCTGGCTGGGCCTGGCCTCAAGGATAAGCCCCAAATGTCCACTCCCAGTTGCAGAGAGTCCCTGTTCTGGAGGTTCTGTAGCGTCAGTTCATGCCTCAGCCATAAGCCCACTCCTCTCCACACTGCCTCTCTGCTCCATCAGCCCCATTCTAATCAGATTGAAGGTCAGGTCAGTCAGCTGGTCTGGAAAACTATGGGTGTAGTGTGATTTGTACTAGAGAGCAATTTTTCCTGAAACTAATGAACTGATAAAATATTTATAAAATAATCCAAATTTGTTGGGCAAGAACTCAGAGTACAGTCAGGGGTCCTGGGAAATCCAAGTACGCCTCCCTTTTTCATTTTGTACAAAGGTATCACTCAGTTCTCCCTCTGGGAGATGTAGCATGAAAGAGTCTGGCCTAACTCCATCCCAGCTGAGTACACTGTCATCCTTTCTGTTACTCAGGTCCCACCCACTCTCTATCCTATAATGCCATGTAAAGGCAATCCCCACATCCTTTTCATTTTACCTCCAAAGTCTCTCATCCCCATCTGCTAACTTCCTTTCTGCACTATTGCAATGGCCGCCCAGTGAGTATCTCTTCCTTGGTCTTTAAATTGCTGTGAGAAAGTATTTTTTCAAGACAGAAATTTAAAAGATCAATAACAACAACAGAAAACACACACACAGACTAATCACCTACCTATTTGTAAGTATGCAGAAAGGATACTGCCAAACTGTTAGCAGTAGGAAGGGATTTGAGAAGGGATTCAGACTGGGGATAAGCCCACTATTGAGAGAGGTCATGTGTTGAGCCACCCTGATCCAATTTGGCCTAGAGAAACAAACTCCAGTCTCTATCTTCCCTCCAGTGGGAACATTCAGGTGTTGTTTTCTTTGCCCTGCTCATCCAAGGCCCTCTGCAGGAGGAGATGGGCCATGTATCCACAGTCAAGGCAGCACTCTCAACCACTTCTTGGCCTCAATAAGAAAGTTGTCACCGGTTGTGGCATAACAAATTACATAGTCCATACTTGTTTTATTCCCTGGTAAGGCTGTGAGTATTGTTTGCATTGAAGATCATGTTATGAGTCCCCTATTGTTCAACCTTCTCATACCCTTTTTCTTCCTCATACTCTGAGGCCCTTTCCTCCTACATCCTTTTGTTTTTCTAAGCCTCTTGAACGAAGGACCTCCTCTCTGCTGCACTGCACACAGCATGGCTTACCACCCTGTTTACTCCAGGTCAACCAAATACAGCTGAATAGTCTTAGACATCATGAAGGCTCCATATCCAGAAGCACAGAAAACCCTTCTCAAGTCTGAAAGCCACTCTTAAATCCCCTCCTCATCCAGTTTCTGGCCCATTTTTTGGTCTGATTCACTGTTAGCATCATTTTTATTCCCTATCTTTTAATTTCTTAATTTTTCTGAAATTCTTCCCCCTCCATTTCAACTATCATTACTAAATCAAGGCCAAACCCTAATAGATTTATGACATATTCCTCTTTCCCTTCTATTTAATAGGCAACCAAACCACCCCACTCAGTTCTGACTAGCTTAACCAAAAGTGTCATGTTTAAGGCTCAACTACCCTACTGCCAAATTCTTTCTCTCCACTCTTCTACTCCTCCTCTCCCACTGGAGTGATGGTGGAGTAGGTGCAGAGCATGGCTCGGCTCTTACCAGGCCACAGCCATTCATGCTCAGGAGGAGGCCTAATTTGCATGAAATAGAAGCTCTGTGGATGATTGAAGAACTACTTATCCCATAGGACTGATATCATTACTGACCTAGAAGAGCAGATCTCAGAGCTGACGATGATAATAGAGCAAATGAACAGAGATCACCAGTCTGCCGAAATATCGGTGAGTGATCCTTATGTTAGCTGACATCCCTATGGGTATAGGAAAGGCCAAGATTTTCAGGTCACCTGCCATCTGTCAAGCATGATGCTAAGAATTTGACTCATGGGAGTCATGTTGTCCAGGCAAGAGCTCTGAAGGTAAGTCTGTGGTTATCCAGTGGTCTTTCTCTGTCTCATCCTCACCCATAATTGCAAGAACTCAAGTTCTTTCTCAAGTCCCAGCTCAATTTCTGCGAGTTCTCCCAGTGCCTCAGGTGTGTTCAATGCCCCTGTCCTCTCCACATTAGAGGATGCCAGCCATTTCCTGCCTAGTGGTGAGATAAGTTTCAGAGGTTGTGAAGGCTCTTGCTTAGGGCACCAGCATGGTCACTGCTTCCAGTGTTGCTCAAGAGCTACCCAGAAGCCTCCAGTGACCACTTCCTGTTGCTATTGAAACTACCAAAGCCCACACTTTAGATTCTGCTGATGTCAGTTGCACTCTGTGTTACATGGGGATTTTGGTGACACTTTCTTTAGATTTTAACATCTATTTTATCATAGTCTCTTCTTTCCCCCTTTGAGCAGATGTGGCAGGTGGCCTGGTCTGTAGTGATAATCAGAATCCCCCACCATCTTTCCTGTTGTTATTGAAACACACTTGTAAAGGTTGAATTCCCAGCAGGCTCACCCCTCACCCTCTATCCCCTCCCAGATGCTTCTGAATCCTACAGAGACCCAGCTTGTGCCTCAGACTGAGCCCTCCCCTATTATTGAGTCATTACTATATTTGCCTGAAAACACTGCCAGGTTTATGGTTTCTTTCTACCAAAAGAACCTTTATTGGGCAAAACACTCATTTTCACTCACTGAAGCATCAGTCCTGCTGAAAACATAGTTAGAGATTATTTCCATGGAGGGATGTCAGATTGTGATCCTTAAAATTCTCCCACCTAAAAAAATGAAATAAAATTCTCTTACTTCTGAACACCCCACATTGTTGTGTGACCCTGTGCAAGGGAGGAGTGCTGGTGCCACTGTTTAGTCAGAGAGAGACAAGGACAAGCCCTGAACTCTTGTCTCAGATGGCAGTGGATGCTAACTAGTTTGGAAGTGTGCATTCCCACTGAGATAGTGACCAGAAGGTCTCATTTGTTAGAGTGGAAGTGAGCAAATCCTCCCTGCTGGGATACAACCATTCTACCAACGAGGATTTATTAACACTGATTTACAGGTCATTGAAGGCAGGGTCTATGTCTTAAACTTCTTTGGCTTTTCCAGGCCAAGCCCTTTGTTCAAGAAATGATTGTTCAATTGAATTATGTATCTTAGGGTCCAAAGGCCATGCTCTTACAAAGAGATTACAGCCCAGCCGAGGAGACCAGACCTGCTCACAAAACCTTGTAGTGACAGAGATGGTTTCCGTGCACCAAAACTATGAACTGATTACATACCAGACAACATAGAGCAAGGCAGGAGTTGTTCTGTTCTCTCAGTAATGTTGGAGAAACTCGGGGAGTGGAGTGTTCCCCATGAATGAGAAGGCTTCTCAGAAGTTTCAGACTGGAATGGGAGTAGAGTCCTCAATCCTGTGTTGCTAATGATGGCCTCATTTCTAGCTCTCCAATGAAATGGATCTCCGCTGTGCTGAAATGAAGCAGAGCTTTGAAAACAAGAACAGGTATGTTTTCTAGCACAAGCCCTTGTATACTGAAAGCTTGAAGTCCTCTGCATCCTTGTGGGATTTTATTTCACTGCAATTTCAGACAGAATCAAATGGGATTGGGTGGCAAGGGGTTGAGGGAGATAGTATACATGTCTTTGGAGAACAGGATGGTTTGATTTGAGGTCACTGAAATGTAGCACAGAAAAGGTTATTCTTGGTTTTGCACTTTCTCTCCCAATTATTTATTTCCATTACAATCTCCCTTTTTGCTGATTGCTGAGAAGAGCCACTTTTTATTCTATATGGGATTTCTGTGATAAACAACTATCGTCCTCAGCCCAGCCCCCTCCTCTTCTCCTACTTTCGCTACTGCTAAATCAGGGCCTGGGCAAAATGAGAAGGTACAGTATAGGAGGGGCAGGAACCACAGCCCCAAACACCTACCAAGGGGAAATAATGAGGTGTGTTGTCTGTGTGGGTAAAGACACCCACAAAATCCCCTCCTTGCTACCTGTTGGGCATCAGAGTAGCCGCAGAAGCCCTGGTGGAGAGAAGTCTTCCTAATTGAGTCATAAGCTTGCTTTTTTAAGCAGACATTTTAAATTAATTAATTAATGTTTTTAATTTAATTCATTAAACTTATTTATTTTATAATAGACTTTATTTTTTAGAGCAGTTTTAGGTTCACAGTAAAATGGAGTGTGAAGTACAGAAAATTCCCACATACCCTCTTGCTCCACACCTTCACAGCCAATGCCATTACTGACATCCCACACTACCATGGTGCATTTGTTACAATGGAGGACCTTGCATTGACCAATTATTAGCACCAAAAATCCATAGTTCGCATTAGAGTTCACTGTTGGTGTTGCCAAAAAACATTATGTGTTTCTTTAAGTTTTTTTTATTGCAGTTGTCCCATTTTTTTCTCCCCTTTATTTATCTCCACCCTGTACCCCTTCTCCCACCAGCATTCCCCCACATTCGTTCATGTCCATGAGTCATACATGTAAGTTCTTGGCCTCTCAATTTCTTATACTGTTCTTAACCTCCTCTGTCTGTTTTGTACCTGCCATTTATGCTTCTTATTCTCTGTACCTTTTCCCCATTTTCCCCTCCCCCTCCCCGCTAATAACCCTCCACATGATCTCCATTTCTGTGATTCTCTTCCTGTTCCAGTTGTTTGCTTAGTTTGTTTTTTGTTTTGTTTTGTTTTGTTTTGTTTTTTTAGGTTCAGTTGTTGATAGCTGTGAATTTGTTGTCATTTACTGTTCACATTTTTGATCATCTTCTTTTTTTTAGATAAGTCCCTTCAACATTTCATATAATAAGGGCTTGGTGATGATGAACTCCTTTAACTTGACTCCATCTGGGAAGCACTTTATCTACCCTTCCATTCTAAATGATAGTTTCGCTGGATAGAGTAATATTGGATGTAGGTCTTTGCCTTTCATGACTTGGAATACTTTTTTCCAGCCCCTTCTTGCCTATAAGGTTCCTTTTGAGAAAGCAGCTGATAGTCGTATGGGAACTCCTTTGTAGGGAACTCTCCTTTTCTCTTGCTGCTTTTAAGATTCTCTTCTTATCTTTAATCTTAGGTAACATAATTATGATGTGCCTTGGTGTGTGCTTCCTTGGGTCCAACTTCTTTGGGACTCTCTGTGCTTCCTGGACTTCCTGGTAGTCTATTTCCTTTGCCACATTAGGGAAGTTCTCCTTCATTATTTGTTCAAATAAGTTTTCAATTTCTTGCTCTTCCTCTTCTCCTTCTGGTACCCCTATGAATCAGATGTTGGAATGTTTAAAATTGTCCTGGAGGTTCCTAAGCCTCTACTCATTTTGTAGAATTCTTGTTTCTTTATTCTGTTCCAGTCAAATGTTTATTTCTTCCTTCTGCTCCAAATCATTGATTTGAGTCCCAGTTTCCTTCTCTTCATTGTTGGTTCCCTGTATATTTTCCTTTATTTCACTTTTTATAGCCTTCACTTCTTCCTCTATTTTGCAACCATACTCAACCATTTCTGTGAGCATCCTGATTACCGGTGTTTTGAACTGTGCCTTTGATAGGTTGGCTATCTCTTCATTACTTAGTTGTATTTTTTCTGGAGCTTTGATGTGTTCTTTCATTTGGGCCATAATTATCTGTCTGGGTGCACCTGTTATGTAGTAAGGGACAGAACCTTAGGTATTTGCCAGGGTGGGGCAGCTCAGGTCACACTGCATATGTGGGGGAGGGGTCTGAGCAGGAACAATGCCACGTGCTCAGCTCTCCAGCTGGCTTTCAGTCACTTCCTTCCCTACCCACAAGCAGATTGGGCCCTTCTGATGCTGATTCCCATGTGGGTGGGTTTGTGTATATTTAAGGACCCTGTGGGTCTCTCCAACAAACTCTCCTGTGAGCCTGGAAGTTTCTCCTGCTGCCTCAACCCCACAGGTGTTTTCACTGAGGTTTTGAGGCTTTATTTCTCCACATTGAGACCCTGGATTGCACAATCTGTCCCACTCTCCAGTTTTTCCTCCTGGTTTATTGGTACACAAATGTGGGACTACCTGCTCTGCCAGCTGCCCCACCAGCCCTAGTCCTCCAACCACCAGTTGCCCAGCTGCCTGTCTCCACTCCTTCTGCCAGTCAGTATCAATATTTCTTTAACTTCTTGGTCATCAGACTTCCATACAGTTCAATTTTTTGACAGTTCTGGTTACTTTTTGTTTTTAAATTTGTTGTCCTTCTTTTGGTTGTGTGTGGAGGCAAAGTGTATCTACTTATGCCTCTATCTTGGCTGCTTTAGAAAAATTTTTATTTATTGATTTTTTAGAGAGTGGAGAGGGTAAAAGAGGGGGAAGACAGAAAGAGAAACAGAAACAGAAAGAGACATGCATTTGTTGCAAGTAAATGCATAAATAAGTAAATTTGCATTTACTTGCATAAATAAGTAAATTTGGTTTTTACTTGCATGTGCCCTGACCAGGGATCAAACCCACAATCTTGGAGTATTGGGACAATGCTCTAACTAGCTGAGCTAACACCCTGCTCAGGCACATTTTATGGGTTTTTACAAATGTATAATGACATGTACCCACCATTATAGGATCATACAGAATAATTTCACTGCCCTAAAAATCCTCTGTGATCTGTCTGTTTATCTCTCTCTTCCCTCTAATCCCTGGCAACCACTGCACTGATCTTTTGACTGTCACCATACTTTTGCATTTTCCAGAACAACAAATAGCTGGAATCATACACTGGCAGCCTTTTCACATTGGCTTCATTCACTTACTAATGTGCATTTAAGTTTCTCCTATGCCTTTTCTTGGCTTGGCAACTCATATAGCCTTTCATTTCAACACTCACCTTAGGAGCTAGTGCAGCCCACAGTTTCAAGACTGTATTCTTAGGGACTATCTCTGGCACTCATCATCTCCATTCAAAATAGTTATTGGTGAAAACAAGAGTCCTTTCCCTACTTCTGTGGATAAATGCTAAGAGAATGAATCAAAAAGTGAGGGTGTCCCAGCCTGCTCACGGGCTTCCTATGTGAGGGAGGAGAGATGGGATCAGGTGAATATAACAGCTCAACCTTGGACTTCTTTTCACTGATGACTGTGGCCTTCTCCTGGGGTCCCACAGGGAGCTCAGAGAGGCTCACACAGCAGAACTCAAAGAGTTGGAGAACAACTACAAAGCAGCCTTAGAAGCAGAGAAGTTGGCTGCTCAGGAAAAACTAGGTATGTTCAGGACCTGGAAGAATGACCATGGTGAGGGGCAGGAGGCTGACCTTGTGGGTCTAGGGAACTCTCATGGCCACACATGGGCTGTAGCTGGACTTTCAGAGCTTCCTCCTGAAGCTCAGGGAGAGGAAATGATTGAGAATGAAACTGAAAAGAGAGAAGCCATGTCTACCAATGTCCTTCCTACACCTGGAAGATGGAAAGACCTGTGACCAAGTTTTGAGATACAAGCAAGTTGCTTGATATCAAGTCTGTTTCCCCATCTGGGAACTGAGGACAATAATACTTTTCATTATCAGAATGAGAAAGCACTTTTTAAAGTATATTTAAAGTTCTGCAAATATAATAGTACTCTAATTCAGTAAGTTTCATCACCTGTAAAATGATGATGTTTTGTTAAATTCTAACTGATACACTATAACCTGTGTTGGCCATTTATCCCATTGTTTATGCTGCCCTTGAGAAGAAGAAAGTGTGTCTTCTTCCAAATTCTGGGTTTATAGTCTAATCTCCAACAGAGAGAAGGAGAAATTGTATAACTTTCTCGCTTTCTATTACCTTTCATTTTTTTAAAGATGGTATTTATACCTTGCTGATTTCCCAGTTTTTAAAAGAGACCATACATTGTTTTTAAAATCAATGTATACTTGGAAATGTTATTTTAAAAAAGAGAGAAGCAGCTATGTGCTATAAGATTTTGCTTCTCTTCTCCCAAAGATTCAGGTTTACCCTGGGACTTAGTTCTCTGACTTGGTATCCATCATAATTGCCTGAGAAGCATATTATTGACAGATACTGGACCTCCTCTGAGAGCTCAATTCAGTAGATTGGGGGTGGGAGTCGGGAGGTGTCCAGGCATTTGAGTTTCTAATAAGCTTCCAGAGTGCTTCTTGAGGCACACTGTGGTTTTACCTCCTAAGAGATAAGTTTGAAGTGGGAAGGGTATGCAAGAGAGCTCACATTTGAATTTGAAAGTGTGCATTTCAGAACAGTAAGGATGATGCTGTTGTTTTCCTTTTGTCCAGAGGAAATGGGAAAGGAATACAAGTACTTGAAGACTATGTTTCTTATGTATCAGGTGAGATTCAGAGCTTCTTATTGGATTATGAGAGTAAGAAAAGCAAGGCTCATTCTCTTGCTTGATGCTGTTGGGATGAATCTAGAGCTCTGGCCCAGAAAACAATTCCATTAGATTCCCAGCATCCTTGGACCTAAATGACATACACTAACTGAGCCCAGAGAAAAGAGTGAACCTTCAGACTGTGACAGCTTCCATGTGTGACAAGTCAGTCACCCCGACCCTAAAGGAACCCATTGAAAAGTATGTTTGTGATTACAAAAGTAATACCTGCTCCATGTTTTTTAAGGAAATATATAAAAACCAACAACAGCAACAACAACAAAAAAATACTATTACCATCCCAAGACAGCAGCTGTTAATATGTGTACTTTGTGACATCTTTGATTTTAGTAAAGTGCTGGGTCAGAAGGAATAACCCTTGTAAAGCCCTTCAATACAGTCATCAAATTGCCATCCAGAAATACTGCATTACTCCCACTAGCAGACCATGCGGATGCTCTAGTCATCTTAGAGCATAACCCATTCACTTAATCAGCTAATTCGATTGAGGCCTAGGGACAAAGTTAGGGCAGAGTTTCTTCCTAGGGGGATGAAAAATGGAAGATAGGGAGTGGACAGGGAAGGGCTGAGGCACCAAGCCCTTTGGTGACCAGCTAATCCCAGTTTGCCCAGGACTTTGGGGTTTTAGCACTGAAAGTCTGAAGTTCCAGGAAACAATTCAGTTCCAAGCAAACAAGGATAGTTGATCACCCTGTCAAAGGAGGAAATCAAGTTAAGCACCAGTGCCACCTCTGAAATTCGATTATCCACTCACAGGTTAAGTTTTGAGCTTGTATTTCAAACTCATTTTTCAAGATGTACCTTGATACAGTTAGGGAAAATGTCATAGACCAGAGCCTAAGAGAAGTATCAGGTTGATAAGCAGGTAAGCTGTCCCAGTTTCCTACGTATGCTTTGTATTTCCTTTAAGCAGGGCCTCTTCAGAAAGTGTGATGTCTCTTGAAACTGAGCTGCCCACCAGCCTTGAAGATGATTAGGGAACCTCTATTTAAATGGTCACAGTTACAAGTGAGCTCTGATGCCCGGACCCAGTATGAATTCTGCCACTGACCTGACAAGGAAGGGAGTCAATATTCTGAGACCTTATTGGCAGCATCCGGGGCATGGGCCTTTCCCCTCCTGAGGTCTCACCAGCATGAAGTCTGAGCCAACGCACAGGGGCTGACATCTGGTTAGGCTTATTTAACTTCAACCACAAAGGAAGTTACATTTGCTGAGGGAAATGGACACTCTCTGAAAAACATCCCATTGTTTTCTAAATGTTCAAATTAACTTCTAGGAATTTCCCTTGTTTCTTCATGTGCTATTTATGAGTGATTTATGCATAATTCAGAAGAAGTTGATTTGTGACTTCTCAACACAGGGAACCCTACCTGTTTTGAAAGGAAGCCTAGTCCCAGTGGACAAATACCATGCAGTCTGACTTTGAGGCTTCTCTAGCTCTCAGAGGGCTGGGCTGGAATTTACTTTCACCAGTCACCCATATAGGGCCCTGAGCTGCTCCCTTCCCCACCCCAGCAAGGGTCTCAGGTGAAGGAGGCTACAAAGGGCCCAGTGCTATGCCTTGGGCCAGTGTGCAGTCTTTTTCAGGGGCCTTTTCTGCATGAGTCCTTTGTGCTTCCACAGGACAGCATTTATGATGAAATGGAAGATAAGTGGTCAAGGAAGAAGGCAGAATGGGAGAGGGATGAGAAGCTGGAGCGGGAAAAGGTCCTGCTACAGCAAAGTGAGTACTTCTGACTTCTTGATGATAGTTGCACCAAAAAAACTGCCATTAAGCTTAGTCTCAACTCAAGGAAGGCAGCCATGGATTCACTAATGGTATGAGCCGCATGGTTAGACTTCTGAATGGTAGGTGCCTGGAGTTCTCAAGAAAGTGACAACAAGAATAGAATGTTTTATGAAGTTCAGCCACCTGAGGTTCTAAGCCTATACCTTCCAAAAGTCACTGATTCCAAGTTTGGCCATAATAGGCTAGAACAAGCTTTGGGACATCTGTAAGAATGTGGGCTTGTTATCTAGATACAGGTTGGTCCAAAAGTTCCAGAAAAAAAGTTCTTAAATTAGGTTTTAAACATTCAGTTTTGTGGGGAGGGGCAATACAATCCATCGTACTGAATTGTATTCTATATTCCCACCCACCCCTAAGTAAGCCACGTTTGGTACATATATATGGATATAAATATATATTAAATTGAGATATAATTGACATAATATTATACAAGTTTAAAGTATATAATATATTGATTTGATGCATTTATATATTGCTATATATTTTTAATATTTGCAACACTTAGCACAGAGTTGGGATCATACAAAGTACTCTGTAGGTGAGCCTCCTACTCAGCTGAGCATCTTCATAAATGGAAAAGGAAGAGAGGAATTTGTGGAGATTCTGTTGCCTAGCCTAAAGGACTAGTTGAGGTAGGAGTGGGGCCTCTACAAACCTATTCCACATCCTACCCCAACCTAATTCATATCAAACTTAGTTGATTTTAACAAATTACTCATTTAAATACAGATACTTCCTGGGAAAGTTAATTATTAAGGCCATTCCTACCTCGGTAGGGATGCTGGACCTCTAGAAGTTAGCATGAAGACCCAGAGTTGAGGCTGGGAATGAAATGTGGAGCTGCTCCTGTTTGAGGCTTTGCCTAGAATCCTGGTGTAGCATAGCCCAGGTCACCTCCCAAACTCCTAGCTACTCATATTACACTCATTCCATGTTGTCAAAGTCCAAGTAAAGATGAGACGACCAGTTTTGGAAGACCAGCTTAGGCTGCTCACAGTGGAGCTCAGTCCAGACTTTCCCGTGAGGCCAGGAATTGACTTCTTATCCATCCCCAGCACCGTAATGCTGAAGAAGAAATTTGTGTTAGCCTCTAATTTCTTGTTCCTTCTGTTCAGTGTAGATTGGGTCTCTGCTGACAGGTTCATTTGCACCTCCAACCACTCCCCCCACCCCCGCCAAATCATTTTAAGCCTAGCTCTACCCAGAGCTAAGTATAGAATTAAATTTTATTGCTGGAGAAGTCATAGAGCTGTACTTTGAGATAAGATATTCAAGAAAGCATAGTGGTTACTTCAGCAGAGAGAATAAACAAAATAATAAGCAACTGATCTAAAATAAACTATACAAAAAGAACAAGCCATATTAGAGGTAAATCCCACACAGCTGATGTGAGTGAGAGCCACCACCATGTAGGCCTCACTCCCAAGTCTCTCCAGGTGTGCATCCACCTGAACACCAGGCTGAAAGCATCTCAGCTTTGACCCAGTCTGGACTTTCTGTTATCTATAGATATGCTGGTTTTCTCTCTGCATCTGTTTTTTTCCACATTTACATCTCTATGTGACTTCCTCTCACCTCCACAGAAAATAAGATGACAAAAAAGTTTGAGCTAGAGTCAGAAGAAGAAAAGAAGAAAATAAGCGATTCCTACAGTGCTGTCTTGGAGAACCTCAATCGAGAGAAGGAGGTAACTCAGGCCAAAGCCCATCCATGGTTAAATGTGCAGTCTTGGTGGGACATCCAGTTCCTGGGTGTGCCCCTGTGATTAGGCAAGCTTTTGTCTTTCCGGGAATATTTCTCCTTTCCCAGCTACCCTGGAAAATATGCCAGTAGACTGACAGTCTTACTGTCCTTTATCTAGATAGCCATAGCACAGGGCTATTGGAATGAAAATTATAATTAACAAGAAATAATAGAATGTGAAACATAGAAGCTAAAATCCCTATTTTGCCAAAATCCTCCTCTCTGAATGTTCTTTTCATTCTTGACTATGGCTGAAGAGAAAGGGTATTGTTGCAAATTAAACTAAGCAAATTTGGTCGTGTACAACTTTTAGTAAATAAGGGCAGCTACCTAAAAGTTAGAAGATGTGAGGGTTAGCTATTCCTGTGAGTCACTCCACTGAAACCTTGACACCGATAGCAGGTTATAATGAAAGCAGATCTCAGACCACAGATCTCAGACAGGTGGGCATATACTACACAAATATGTGTTTGCCAGCAGATTCAAACAGTTATATCATAGTTGTCTGAGTTATTGGGTGCATGAAAGATTCATCATAGGTGTATGTGATGGTATTACAGAACTAGGCTCCAGTGATTATTCTGTAACCATTGTAGTCAGCATCAGGCAACCAGAGCTCCTCCTCAGCAGGAACAGAACCATTTGGGAGTCAAGTCTTAGACCCCATTCCTGACTGTACAAGCTATAGGCTTGTTAGATTGTTGTACCCATTTCATGCAAAGTGGAGAGTATCTCTAAAATGTGTTAGATATCTTGAATATTCCATTTTAAGAGCCTATTTCAAACCACCATGCTAACTAAAAAGCCACTAATTTCACCAATAAGAGCCCATGCATGACATTCACTATATTACTGAGCAAAACAATAATGAGGAGATGGGGCATGTTCTGCAATAATGCTTCTAGGGTCTAGAGAGCCCAGATGTCTGAACAAGCAGTAGCAGTTCCTCTTAGTGGGAAGAGATTTTATCATCTGTGTGCCTCTCTTCTTCCTGTAATGACACTGACCATGAATCTGTAAATGGGTGTTCTCTTTTTCTCTCTCTCATATATATGATTTACACTTACAAAATGCACAGATATTAAATGTACATTTTGATGAGTTTTGACAAATGTATATATTCATATAACCAACACCCAAATCAAGAAAGCACTCCAGTGTTCCTTTCCAGTTAATCCCTATCTCCCTCAAGACTTGCCCCAAGCCAACTACTCCTTTGATTCCTACCACCAGAGATTATTTTTTCTTATTTTAAACTTTATATGAATGGAATCATACAGTATATGCTCTTTTGTGTGTAGCTTCTTTATCCTCAATATAATATTTGTGAAATTAATTTATCTGTTATTCACATCAGTTATTTCTTCCTTTTTATTGCTCAGTGGTATTATTCCTTTATAGGAGTATCACACAATGCATTTACCATTTTCCTGTTGGGGGAGATTTTGGTTGTTTCCATTTTTTGACTTTTATAAAGCTTCTACAAATATTCTGTACAAGTACTTTTGTAGACATATGCTTTCATTTCTCTTGTGTATACCTAGGAGTGCTATTACTGGAATCTAGGGTAGTTTTAAGTTTAACTTCATGAGACATTACCAAGCTATTTTCAACCATAGTTGTACCGTTTCACTCTTGCATCTTAAATATATGAGAATTCCAGGTACTCCATATCATTGACAACAGCTGGCATTGATAATCTTTTAATTTTGGCCATTCCAATGGGTATGAAGTGGTATTTCATTACAGTTTTGGTTTCCCCAATGACTAAATATGTTGGACAATTATTTATATGCCTATTGGACCATATGTGTGTCTTCTTTTATGAACTATTTTGTCAAGTCTTTTGCCATTAAAAAATGGGTTATATATGTTTTTATTATTGATATATAGGAGTACTTTTTGTACTTTGGATACAAATTTTTTGTCACATATATGTGTTCCAAATTGTGTCCCCCAACCTGTGGTTATAAATATTCTGTACAAGAACCTTTTCATTTTGTTCATCTTCTCTTTCAATGGGCAAAAGTTTTAAATTTTAATAACAGTCAACTTATGAATTTTTTTCTTTTATGGTTACAGCTTTTTGTATCTTATTTATGAAATTGTTGCCTATTCCAAGGACATGAAGATATCCTATTTTTTAAAAAATCTTTATAATTTTAGCTTTCATGATTCTATGATTCATTTTGAATAATTTTCACATGGAAGGTAGAGGTAATAGATCATTTTTTTCCCAGAATGACACCCAGTTGTTCCAGAGTGATTTGTTGAAAAAAAACAATAATACTTTTCTTTCTCCACTGAGTTGCCTTTGTGTCTTTGTTATATTTGGGAAGAGGCGGGGTGGATTCTCCATTCTATTCAACTATTTACCCTTAATTAGGCCAACACCACATTGTCTTAATTACTGTAGTTTGAAATCAAAAAGTAAAAATCTTCTAACTTTGCTCTTCTTTTTCAAGATTATTTTGGCTTTTCTATATTCTTTGTATTTCTTTTTTTTAAGATTTTATTTATCTATTTTTAAAGAGGGAAGGGAGAGAGAAGGGGGAAAGAGAGAGAGAAAGAGAGAGACATCAATGTGCGGTTGCTGGGGGCCATGGCCTGCAACCCAGGCATGTGCCCTGACTGGGAATCGAACCTGCAATGCCTGGTTCGCAGCCAAGCTCAATCCACTGAGCTATGCCAGCCAGGGCTATATTCTTTGTATTTCTATATAAATTTTAGAATTATCTTGTCAAGAAAGCCTGCTGGTATTTTGTCTGGAATTACATCAAATATAAAGTTCAATTTTTGGAGAATTGTATATTTTACAGTATTAAATCTGTGTACAGGCAAGAAAAGCCTTTGACAAAAGTTTTTTAATATTTGTCAGTGCATTAACATTGAACATGAATGAGATTTCCATTATTTAAGATCAACATGTGATGTCATTAGTTTATAACATGTGCTTCATGAAATCAATATCTAAACTTTGGTGAATATTATGTTTCTCAGCCCTATTCTGGTTTTCCTAGTTTTTGAAAGAAGTTCCAGAACCCCACTGTTGACCTTTCAAAAAAAAATTATTTCTAGGAACTCTTGAAACAACATGAAAAGGACACCTTGCTATTAGAGGAGCTAAAAAAGACCAAAGAGGTAAGCTTTCTCATTTTTTCCATGGAATTAGCATCTTATAACTACATCAGTAAAAATTATATGAGGTCTGTCCAGAAGGTTTCCAGCCATGTAATATGAAAAATAGAGATGTTTATTAAAGAAGATATAAGAAACATTGTTCATAGGACAATGACACCTCAGTTCCCTTCAAAGTAGGCACACAGTTCTCCCAACAGCCATCAGCTGCTCTGTTGTATTTTCCTGAATTACATTAATAGTCTGAAATCTCTTCCCTCTCAAAGGCGATTTTAGTTTTGGAAAGAGTCACGGGGCACCAAATCTGGGCTATAAGGATGCTGAGTCACCTGGGTGATTTGATGTTTCACTAAAAAACTTTGCTCGAGATGTGATGCATGAGCAGGCACATTGTCATGACAAAGCTGCCAGTCACCAGTTGCCCATAACTGCAGCCTTGTGAATCATCCAAATAGTTTTTGCAGAGGAATGTTCAAGCTTAAGGCAAAATTTGATGCAGATTCATTGCTCTACTGGCTCAGTCATTTTGAATGTGATGGCGACACAGTACGCATGCTCACTCAAAGGTGTCTACCACCCCCACTGACTAGTACAGTGAAGTCATCATTGTTCATGCATGTGCATTCAGTCCACTCTCCTTGGCTGCCAGATTGCATTGATGTCACGCAAACCATGCTTGTTATATTAACAATGACTGGTCTTTTCTGGACAGACCTCATATACTCTCAATCAATGAAATCAATGATAATTTCCCCAAAACTGGTAAAAAAATAGAAAAGCTAAAGATGAGTTTGCTGGAATCAGTAAGTCAAAGAGAACTTTAGAATTATCTGTAAAACAAAGCTATTTGGTATCTTTTTAGAGCCTGATTTCAACAAATATGTAAGCAACATACTATGCGATCTGCAATATCAATTGTCTTCCATTTCTAGGACTGCTCAAACTATAAAAGGGTCTTAAATAGTAAAATGCTTCTTTCCTTTAACCTCTGAAAACTAGAATACTGCCACCTTGGAATTCTGACTCTAATCCTGTCCTTAAAACTCTGAGTGTACCTTATCCCCCAGCCTCCTCAAGGAACTTTCTCTTTCTGAGACTTCCATGTGGGAGACACCTGAAAAGAAACTGTTCAAACCCACAAAATGTCTCGTGGTTCCTCTTCCACTGAGAATTTGGTTTGGATCCAGAATGGACATGTTTGGGAAATGATCAGCCATTATGAAAGCATGGAATGACACCTTAGAATCCAGGCAGGGCTTCAGTACTGTTGGGCAAACAGACGGCAGTGTCCTACAAAGTAAAGGAATGGGTTTTGAGAAACTTGTTGTTTGTGGGAGCAAGGTAGGTCCAGTGTATTCTTATAACTGATTTGCTGATTCTCTCACTTGTGTCATTTCTGGGTCTATTTCTATGAATTGATTAAAAATATTTATGGTCATAATTTTTTGCTTGTTTGCATGCCTGATAATTTTTTTCTTTAAAAAAAACTTATTTTAATTGTTGTTCAAGTACAGTTTTCTGCCTTTTACCCCCATCCCAGCCCACCCACCCCCAGCCTTCCCCACCTCCTGTTTCCACACACTCCCTTGTTTTTGTACATGTGTCCTTTATACTTGTTCCTGCAAACCCTTCCCCTTTTCCTTTGAAATTCCCCCCGCTCTGGTCACTGTCAGCCTGTTCTCTATTTCAGTGCCTTTGGTTATATTTTGCTCGTTTGTTCATTTTGCTGATTAGTTTCCTGTTAAAGGTGATATTATATGGTATTTGTCTTTCACTGCCTGGCTTATTTTGCTTAGCATAATGCTCTCCAGTTCCATCCATGCTGTTGCAAAGCGTAGGAGCTCCTTTCTTTCTGCTGCATAGAATTCCATTGTGTAAATGTACCATAGTTTTTTTGATCCATTCATTTACTGATGGGCACCTAGGTTGCTTCCAGCACTTGGCTATTGTAAATTGTGCTGCTATGAACGTTAGAGTGCATAGTTTCTTTTGGACTGGTGTTTCAGGGTTCTTAGGATATAATCCTAGCAGTGGAATTGCAGGGTCAAAAGGCAGATCCATTTTTAGTTTTCTGAGAAAATTCCATACTGTTTTCCATAGTGGTTGTACCAGTCTGCAATCCCACAAACAGTGCACTAGGGCTCCCTTTTGTCCACAACCTCTCCAACACTTGTTGTTTGTTGCTTTGTTTATGATGGCCATTCTGACCAGTGTGAAGTGGTATCTCATTGTGGTTTTAATTTGCATCTCTCTGATAGCTAGCGATACTGAACATCTTTTCATGTGTTTCTGGATCCTCTGTATGTCCTCCCTGGAGAAGTGTCTGTTCAAGTCCTTTGCCCATTTTTTAACTGAGTTGCTTATCTTCTTAGAGTGGAGTCATATGAGTTCTTTATATATTTTAGAGATTAAACCCTTGTCTGAGGTATCATTGGCAAATATGTTTTCCCATACAGTTGGTTCTCTTTTTCTTTTAATACTGTTTTCTTTAGCCATGCAGAAGCTTTTTATTTTGATGAGATCCTATTTGTTTATTCTTTCCTTTATGTCCCTTGCTCTAGGGGACATATCAGTGAAAATATTGCTGTGTGAAATATCTGTGATTTTCCTGCCTATGTTCCCTTTTAGGACTTTAATGGTGTCATGACTAATATTTAAATATTTTATCCACCCTGAATTTACTTTTGTGTATGGTGTAGGTTGGTGTTCAAGTTTCATTTTTTGGCATGTAACTGTCCAGCTCTCCCAACACCATTTGTTGAAGAGGCTATTTTTACTCTATTTTATGTTGCTGTCGAATATTAATTGACCATAGAGACTTGAGTTTATTTCTGGGCTCTCTGTTCTGTTCCATTGGTCTATCTGTTTGTTTTTATGCCAGTACCAAGCTGTTTTGATTACAGTGGCCTTGTAATACAGTTTGGTATCAGATATTGTGATCCCTCCTACTTTACTCTTCTTTCTCAAAATTGCAGCAGCTATTTGGGGTCATTTATGGTTCCATATAAATTGTTGAAGTGTTTGTTCTGTCTGTGAAATATGCCATTGGTACTTTAATAGGTATTGCATTGAATGTGTAAATTGCTTTGGGTAGTATGGACATTTTGATAATGTTAATTATTCTGATCCATGAACATGGTATATGTTTCCATTTGTTTGTGTCTTCCTTGATTTCCTTCTTCAGTGTTGTGTAGTGTTCTGAAGTACAGGTCTTTTACCTCCTTGGTTAGGTTTATTCCCAGATATTTTATTTTTCTTGTTGCTATATCAAATGGGATTTTTTTCTTGATTTGATAATTTTTTATTTGGCTGTCAGCCATTGTGAAATTTATCTTGTTGGGTGCTGAGTATTTTTTGTATTCCTTTAAATATCATTGAGCTTTGTTTTGGAATTCAGTTAAGTTACTTGGAAACAGTCTGAGCTTTTCAAGTTTTGGTTTTATGTTTTGTTAGGCAAATTATAGCAGTCTTTAGTCTAGGGCTAATTTTTCCTCACTGCTGAGATGATACCCCCCTCAGCAATCTACCCAATACTGTGTGTATTTAGAAGGGTTGTCCTTCCCTGGCTGGTGGGGATGTGAACTATTTCCAGCCTTGTGTTGGTTCTAGGGATTGTTCTACCTACTCCATGCTGGCAGTTCTTTCCCCCAACCTCATCCCCTTTGATTTGTTCCCCTCTATCATGCCACTCCAGTGGCACTGGACTTCTGGCTATCTCTTTAATAGGCCAGGATGCTCCTACTTTGGAATCTTTGCTCTTGATTTTCTCTCTTCTTGGAATACTCTTTGCCAGATATCCATATGACTAACTTCCTTACCTCCTTCCAGTCTTCACTCAAATGCCACCTTCTCGGGGTCACCAAACAACCTGACACTTTCTTTTCCCTGTTTCATTTTTTCCACACAGACTTATAGCCATCTAACCTGATAAACTCAATGAGGGCAGGGATTTTTGTCTGTTTTCTTTACCATTTATCCCCAGTTTCTAGAACACTGATTGGCACATTTCAGAAATTCAGTAAATAGCAACTGATTTTTATAATGAATAAAAAATGAAAAAAACTGCAAAATGACATGCTTTGTACAATGCAGTTACAGTAAATGAGGGTACTTTTCAAGTTTATGCACAGTGTGAGGGGGCTCATTACATGGGTAGAGCTGTAAGGATAGGTAAGAGTTAAATGAGGCTGATACCTAAAAGGTGAGCCCCATCTGGTAAATGTTACAGTTTCTTTAGCATCTTTCTAAAGTAGATCTCACACTTATGCCTTCCCATCACTTACACTGCATCCTCCACTTGCATCCTTAGTTTGTTTCTAATTTATTATTGTAATTATTTTGTTTACTTTTATTTAATTTTTTAAATATTTCCCTCACTAGAATATGTCTCCATAAGAGCAGGAGTTATATTTATCTTGTTCATCATAATATTCCTAGTGCCTAATACAGTAGTAAGGGGTTTTTTCCTAATCAACAGCCCATTTTTCAGAGCACTGTTAAGTTTACAGAAAAATTAAGCAGAGAGTACAGAGATTTCCCATACACTCCCCATGCCACACAATTATTAATATCTTGCATTTGTTGTGGTACATTTGTTATAACTGATAAACTAATATTAATACATAATTTTTAACTAAAATTCATAGTTTAGACTAGGGTTCATTCTTTGTGTTGTACATTCTACAGGGTTTCTCTGATCTAAAAATCCTTTGTTCTCTACTGCCCCTCCCAACCATTGGTAACCACTGATCTTTTTTACTATTTCTATGGTTTTGCCTCTTCCAGAATGTCATGTATTTGGGATCCATAGTAGATATTTAATTAATACTTGTTTAATAAATGAATGATTGGTAGTTTTGTGATGACCCATGTGAGCTCCAGTGGGGCTGGCTCTGGGGCAGTGGCAGTGAGGTTATAGGGAAGGGTGTACATAGATGGGTGAGACATAGAGGGGGGAGAATTCACAGGGCACAGTGACTGAATGGTGCAGGAGGAGGAGTAACTAGAGTTAATGCTTCCCATTGTAGCCCAGGGACCTAAAGAAGAGAATAAATGGGTAGATACCATCATGATATCCCCAAACAATTTCTTCTTACACAGATCATAGAGGAAGAGTTGCTTGCTCAAGCTAGTATCCTAGAATCACTTAACACAACCCTCTACCAAACCCAGATAGAACTCCAGAGAGAGGTGAGTCCTGGCTGGAATGGGGATAGGAGATTGTGGGAGGATCCCAGACCTCTGTACAGTTCTGCCATACAGCTCTTGTTTGGGAAAGATAGCTATTAAAATTGACATGTCTTTCAGAAAGCTGCAGTGGGAAGTCTGGAGAAAACACTCCAGACCAAGCTTGCCGAATCTGAAGAGAAGTTTAAACACACCATACAGCTCCTGACAGAGGAAAACATTCATCTGAGGTGTGAATGATGCACAAAAACATGACTTACTTGTGTTTAGGAAGTGAGAGGGATTTGGGAGGAGGAAGAGGTGAAGGTGAACCCAGGCAAAGCCACTTTCAGGAGGAAGATATTCTCTGTGAGCCTGGTCACAGTATTTGCCTGCCGTGGTGGAACAGTTCATTTGAAATGGTGCTGGGAATGTGTTTAGACTCCCTTACCTACATCTTAGTCTTTATACAAAGTTACATGTGAGATTTATCTGAGAATCTCTAAGTGTATTCAGTCTTGTGACTAAAGGTTATTTTTAAATCCCTCTCCCCTGAGGGTATAGGGGTTTGGGTGTTAGTGGTTTACCCTTAGATGCAGCTGCATTTGCTTCCTGTGGAAATTATCTTCAGGTCAGAAATTATACTGCTACCTGAAGATTTATCTTAAATCACTGAACTAAATTTTGGTCAATACTTTGATAAAGGGAAGTTGTTCCTTGTGTTGATTTAGTAGAAAAATTCCTCATGTGAACATTTGGTCACCCAAATATCGTATTTCACTAAAATCAAAGCCACTGCAAGTAATGAGTGAAACTGCCTCCAATCAAAGAATGAAACCACATTTCTCTCATTCCCCTTTCTACCCTTAGAGCCTATAGTGATACATCTTCTTTTTCTTTATAGGCAAAAGATAATTGCCAGGAATGAAGAAATATATGAAGAACAATCTGGGAGATCAACCTGTATTACTATTTATGAGGATGATTCTGAGACTGTAGAATATAGTGACAACAAAAGATAAAAATTGTGAGCAGAAAAGTTGTTCTCCATAATCGGAGATGGTAGGAATACCATCGCTGTAAGCCTAGAGGACTCATGTAAGGTTTTCTTGAGAAACGCATATGATGAGTTTGGTTTGGGGTTGCCTTGATTCTACTTCTGTCTTTTCAACACTTGCTTTCCTCTGAGTGTTTGGGATTGTATTGATTCTTATCTCAACTACATAGATTTTTCATGACACTTCATTGTGAAAAGTGATGTTCTCTATACCTAGAGCTGAGCTTTCTCTGGGTGTGCCATTTTCTCTTCCATTTTTACATATTTCTTTGTGAAGACAGTGATCTGAAAATTTTCTTCCTATTAAATGTTGACTGTATTTTGGACTATACCTTTTCTCCCCCCTGGGGCATTTAGCTAGCAAGAAAGAATTAATTGGTTCCATTACAAAAACCTTTCTTTTTCACATGTGTTCCCTACTCTCCCACCTCCCAATCAGGTTTCCTAAACTATGATTTAGGAAGAGTTTCTGATGATTCTCACCACCTTCTCCAAACCATTGTTAGAATTCAAGTGCCTACAGGGCAGGCAACATAAATAAGTGAAGTGGGCTGGACATTTGGAAAAACAATCCCACAGACACACTGATAGTTGGTGATTGGCAGCAGCTTCAGTAGAGGAGATTGAGGTGTCAGGGGCAGTGAGAGAACTCATTCCATTGCTGCCATACAGGAGCATGGGGTCAATGTGGTCAAATATTTCGATTTTTCAAAAGAAAGTATTCTGGTTTTTATGTGACATCTCCCGATTTTTAAATATGAACAACCCATTTTTAAAAAAATACAACTGTGTGAGTCAACATTGGGAGGCTCAAGTGAAATAACTGTGATTTAGATATTTTCTACCTGTGAGATGCCATCAGCTAAAAACAAAACAAGGAAAACAACATCCAAGGAGCAGTAAGATTAAATTATGTTTTATTAAAAAGATTTCAAGTAAACTGAAGATATAAATTACAAATTTAAAAGCATGGAAGAAGCACAGCATTACTAGCAAAAAAAATCAAACATTACGGAAGTATGCATATATTATAAGAGCAATAAGAGAAAAGGCTGAAAAGGGAGTTTGGAAAAAGAGTATAGCAAATTTGTAAAAATATTTTTAATTTTAATGTAAGAATTTCTTACATTAAAGCTTTTCATGTAAGAAAATCTTCTCCAATTTGTATTTTAAAGCAACTTTCAATGGAGTTCAGGGAATATTAATTATTTTGAATTAAAGTTACTTGAGAAAGTTACTGCAAGATGGACAATCTAATCCTTTTTTATTCCCCCTGACAGCTGACATTAAACCTACTATGTGAAAAGCACCCTTCATGTGCAAACACGGTAGAAGCCACTGTATTACCAGAGATAGGGAATACAGGCTAAGAAGGCTTCGTAAACAACAACAACAACAAAAAAACTCTGTTGCTTCTTTTCTAATTTACTACTGGAAGCCCAAACTTCTTTGTCTTGTAAATTCTTCACAAATTTATTGTTACACTGTCTAAAAATAAAATCTGCCTGATTTAATCATTATTTGGAGTCTTAGATTTTTCTGCTATCCTATATGTATGAAAGTTAATTTTCCTTCTGTTCGTTTATCTTATGCCAATTTAATTAACAGATAAACCAAAGAAGCTAGATGAATAAAAAGGAAAAGTCTTTTTCACAGCCTTGTAAAGTAGTGCAAACAATGGCTTGGAAAGAGAGGGACTGAAAGTACAAAACAAAACAAAACAAAATACTTAACAATTTGAAGCGAATTAAATTGAATGAGTATGGGTTGAAAGCAGATGAGTGACTTGTGAAATACATCTGCCACTGTTTTTGAACCATTATGATGTTACTCTTCTTTTAAACTTACTATACTTTTTGTATCTACTATAGTTTTTAAAAGCTTTTTTATCAAATTAAAAGTACAACTAAAATCATGACTATGGCTATAAATATCTAGCTATTGTTACAAAGCCAGATATTTGGGCTTGATTTACATACAAATTAAATTGTCTTGACTCCCATTCTCTCCCCTTCCTACCATCAAAAAAAAAGAAGGAGCAAGGTGTGGCAATATTAAATTAAGCCTAGTGTTATGCCAGTAAATATTAGCATAAAGTAGAAGCATAACAGCAGCATCTTAATAAAATATTAAGCATAGTGTTATACATCAATTAAGAGGGAAGAAGAGTTTTTTTGTCAGAGTGAAAGTCGGCTGTGGCATCTGCTTCCCCATATTCTTCTTGTCATCTTTATTGCTCACTTCAAAGTTCACCTCTGTGAGGATGGTGAGAATATCATCACCCCTGAAAAACATAACATTGTGACCATCTGTTAGGAAAACAACTGGTAAACCCTTTTACCTGCTGTGCTTATGATAGTTACTGATCTCAAAACATCAGGCATTTGAAGTGGTAAGTTGCTAAACCAAGACCTACCACAGCTTCTCAGATAAAGGAGGTGTTTCAGAGCTCAATAACTTATCTTTGGTTTACTCAGGATCTCTAAAGACCATCAGAAACCTCAGTGTTAACATCAGATTTGGTTTCTTCCCTTCCCAGTCTATACTCACTCTACTCCATGTACTATGTTACCAATGTCCATAATCACCTCAATGACCCATAACATCCTCTGCCCCAAATTGACATTGCTTCTGTGGGTTCATCGATGATGTAACCAAACTTCAGGCACGTGAAAATCAAATGTCTCCTGCAGTTGCCTCACCTCTTTCTTACCAGCCTCTAATCAGTTTAACTGGGCAACCTATTTATCCACCTCTGAAAATAGGCCCCCAAACCTTATAGGATTCACAGTCTGAAGCACAAAATGAAAACATACTGTTGAAATCATGGTTCACTCCTTTATCTGCCATGGAAAATTCTCACTCTTCATACACTTAAAACATAACAATGTATAGAACTAGAAGGAACCTGCAGAAGATTGCTTCCTATCCGTCAGTTGCATGTGCATTTGGGTGAACTGTGACACACAAAACCATCATTTAACTAAATAAAACACAAGATATTTAAATGAGAAAAGGATATTTTCCTACATTTTGTGGCTTCAGAGCAGGCCCAATAACTAAAACTATAAAGGGTTTCTACTCTTTGGTATTTTTCTCTCACAATACACCAAGAAGGTTGGAGGATGGTTAGCTGTTATAGAACTTCTGACAGGGTTAGAGAATGTTAAACATCGAAATGGGTTATAGCCTTTTTGGAAAACTTCTTGGAAGTTTTCCAGTTGAATGGTCACAGTCACGTTTCTGCCTAAATACAGAGCTGCACTATATGACTTCACCTTCCTTCCTAGCAACATGATACCCTGATTGTCCTTTGAGGTGCTAAAAAAGGAAACTCCTCAGTAAGTATCTCACTTTTTTCTATCTGTAAACTCAAGATTTGTCCGCTCTCCCACTTGGCAGCTGACCTGGGAAGTACAGCTACACGATCCACAGCTAGATATTTATGGATGAATGAAGGGTTGGATAGGCAAGAATTACCTGGGACATCTTTCTTTCAGGCTCTGGCAAAGTGACTGGATATACCAGGTCCCCTCCATAGGGCTTCGGTAGGAAACACAATTGTTCACAGTGGCCATTCCCAGCAGAAAGTCAGCCTCATCTGGGATGTATCTTTTCTGAAGTGTTAAGTCCATTTCTAAATGGTCTTCCTTTTCTTCTGAGTCAGTCTCTACAGCTATACCTTTTTGGTAGTTATCCCCTTGACAAGCCTGGATGAAAAAGATTTTGGGTTTGCCTGCAAGGGAAGGGCATTTTGAACTAGTGAAGTATGAAGTCAGCTCATGGATGGGGGCTTCCTGCCCATCAGCACCATAGATGATGCCCTTGTCTCCATGGGAAAGGATGCAGCAGATGAAGCAGTCTTTGTTATTGTGGTCCTTGTTTTGGTACTCTTCCAGAGTTTCACAGATTTTCTCTGCTGTGAAGTCGTTGTGCTGCACTATATCAAAGTGAAGCATACTAAAAGTGGAACACAAAGCCTCTGAAAAGTGAAAAACAAAGACTCATGTTATACCACAATAATACCCAAACCACAGCCCAGAGCTAAAGCAAACATCGATCAGATAAAAATCTGAACCAGACCTTAAGAATAAGACTCTTTATATTAGTGGCTGGATTCCATAAACTTCTAATAGTTATTGCCACCTACTGAAAAACCTTCCAAGTGTTGAGGCAAATACAAAAATAAAAATATAGAAAGGAGAGTATTATTGTTGACCTGCTGTTTTAGCTCAACTACTCTACAAAATGAGTAAGCCATTTTTTAGGCTTACTACCAAACCAATTTTTTAAAAATGTTAATTAATTTATTTATTTTTAGAGAGAGAGGAGAGGAGGAAGAAAGAAAGGGAGAGAAACATCAATGTGTGGTTTCATCTCATGCATCCCTTAGTGGGGACCTAGCCTGTAACCAGGCATATGCCCTGACTGGGAATTGAACCAGTGACCCTTTGGTTCACAGGCTGGCTCTTAATCCACTAAACCACACCAGCCAGGGCACCAATTTAAAAAAATTTTATAACTTACATAACCAGAAAACAAAAACCAAAAGAATTTTTGAACAAAAGATTCATACTTATTTTATTCTGAACCCTCTCAAAATGGTTAAAATACAATATATGGACTTCCAGCCAAGATGGAGGCATAGGTAGAAACACTGTGCCTCCTCATACAACCAAAATAAGGACAACAAAAATTTAGAAACAAAAAAACAATCAGCACTGGCAGAAAATTGAACTGTTGGAAGTCCAACAACCAAGGAGTTAAAATAGACACATTCATCCAGACCGGTAGGAGGGACAGAGTCGCTGGCTGGAGTGGCTGGGTAGAGAGGGGTCCTGGCAAAAAAAGCGGTGGCTGGTGGACCTGGGCATGCAGGTGGTGGCTGGCAGACCCCAGGAGCCTGGGGTGGCAGTGGGCAAACCCAGCAAGGCGGCAGATTGTGGAGGGGTATGGCATGCAAGGCAGCTGGTGGACCAGGCAGTCCCACATTCGTGCTCAGATAAACTGGGCAAAACTGGGGAGCAAGACAGGTGATGCAACCCAGGGCTCCTGTACAAGGAAATAAAGCCTCAAAACACTGATTGAAAACACCTGTGGGAGGTTGAGGTTCTGGGAGAGACTCACAGCCTCACAGAAGAGTTTGTTGGAGAGACCCACAGGGTTCTAGAACATACACATACCCACCCACATGGGAATCAGCATCAGAAGGGCCCAGTTTGCTTGGGGGAAGCAGTAGAAGTGACTGAAATCTGGCAGAGAGCAGAGCAAGCACCATTGTTCCCTCTCTGACCCCTTCCCCACATACAGTGTCACAACCCAGCAAAGTGGATACCCTGCCCTGGTGAACACCTAAGACTCTGCCCCTCACTGTGTAAAAGGTGTGTCAAGACCAAAAAAATGGCCCAAACAAAAGAACAGATCAAAACTCCAGAAAAAATACAACTAAGCGACAAAGAGATAGCCAGCCTATCAGATACACAGTTCAAAGCACTGGTGATAGGGATGTTCACAGAATTGATTGAATTTGGTCACAAATTAGATGAAAAAATGAAGGCTATGCTAAGTGAAATAAAGGAAAATGAACAAGGAACCAATAGTGATGGGAAGGAAACTGGGACTCAAATCAATGGAGTGGACCAGAAGGAAGAAAGAAACAATCAAACAGAAAAGAATGAAGAAACAAGAATTCAGAAAAATGAAGAGAGGCTTAGGAACATCTAGGACATCTTTAAACATTCCAACATCTGAATTATAGGGGTACCAGAAGGAGAAGAGGAAGAGTGACAAGTGGAAAATTTATTTGAACAAATAATGAAGAACTTCCCCAATCTGGTAAAGGAAATAGACTTCCAGGAAGTCCAGGAAGCTCAGAGAGTCGCAAAGAAGTTGGACCCAAGGAGGAACACACCAAGGCACATCATAATTACATTAGCCAAGATTAAAATGAAGGAGAGGATCCTAGAAGCAGCAAGAGATAAAGGGGAAACAGTCACCTACAAAGGAGTTCCCATCAGACTGTCAGCTGATTTCTCAAAAGAGACCTTGCAGGCAAGAAGGGGCTGGAAAAAAGTATTCCAAGTCATGAAAAGCAAGGACCTACATCCAAGATTACTCTATCCAGCAAAGCTTTCATTTAGAATGGAAGGGCAGATCAAGTGCTTCTCAGATAAGGTCAAGTTAAAGGAGTTCATCATCACCAAGCCCTTATTTGTATGAAACTGTTAAAAGGGACTTATCTAAGAAAAGAAGATAAACATGTATAGTAAAATGACAGCAAACTCAATTATTAACAACCACACCTAAAACAAAAACAAAAACAAAAACAAACTAAGCAAACAACTAGAACAGGAACAGAACCACAGAAATGGAGATCACATGGAGGGTTAGCAACAGGGGAGTGGGAGGAGGAGAGAGGGGGAAAAGGTACAGGCAATAAGTAGCATAGATGGTAGGTAGAAAATAGGGGGAGGACAAGAATAGTATGGGAAATGTAGAAGCTAAAGAACTCATAAGTATGACACATGGACATGAACTAAAGGGGGGGAATGTGGGTGGAAGAGGGTATGCAGGGTGGAGGAGAGTGAAGGGGGAAAATGGGACAACTGTAATAGCATCATCAATAAGACATATTTAAAAAATACAATATATGAAAGTTTTGAAAGTCAAGTAGAACTAAAAGACCTATGCAAAAAACCTATCCCCTCTTTGCCACTCCGTATCACCTAGTCACGTTCCACGAAGGTAACCAATTTCAACTTTTAACTACTTTTTTTTGTAATTAACCTCCATTTTGTAATAAATTTGGGTATATTGCTATTTATTCATTGATAATGTTTGATTTTTGTATTGAATTCCTATTATGGGTGATGAGCTTTTGGTGCTCTTATATAATTATTTACCATTTATCATTTTTAGTTCAATCATTAGTAATGTTTGTATTACTAGTACTATTTAAACATAATATTATTTAATTATGCTTCCTTTCTTATTAAACTTTTGTCTTTCATGGAGTTAGCAATTGCACTATTTTTTTATTGCTTTGTTTCCTATGTGCTTAACATTATTTCCCCCCAAAATGTGCTCATAGAGCTAGTCAAAGTCTTTCAATATCTTCTGGCTGCCTGTCTGATTCCTTTCAAAAAAAAATTTGTATATGCTTAAGGTATACAACATGATGATATACATAGTGAAATGATTAAAGTAGACAAGCTAATAACGTATCTCCATTCACTGTTACTGCATATATGTGTATGTGTGATGAGAGCACCTGAAATAATCTCCCAGCATATTTCTGGTATTCAGTACAGTATTATTTTTATTGATTCCAGAGAGAGGGAAAGGAAGAGAGAAAGAGAGGAAGAGAAATGTTGATGTGAGAGAGAAACATCGATCAGTTGCCTTTTCCATGCACCCTGAGTGGGGACTGAACCCACAATCCAGTCACATGCCCTGACTGGGAATCACACCTGTGGCCTTTCAGTTTGTGGGACCACACCCAACCAACTGAGCCACACCGGCCAGGGCTTAATACAGTATTATTAATTATAGTCATCATGTCCATTAGATCTCTAGACTTACTCACCCTATATAACTGCACATTTGTACTCTGACAAAATGCCAGAAATACAATCAAGTATTATTTTAATAAATGTGTTTTAATAGTAAATGAATGGAAATCAAAGACCTGAAACCTTTTCTTCAGTACCAAGATGTGTGGTGATAAATTTTATAATCAATGGACTCATGTTCTATGGCTTTTTAAAATTACAGAATAGATTTGCCTGAATAAACAAATGTTAACAGAGAACTTTGGCTGATTAAAATCAACCTACCTTACTTTTCTAAATTTTACTCAACTTAAAAAATAAGTTCTTACCTGATGTTATGACTTTTAAAAATTATTTGATCAAGTAAAAATTCTTAATATTACAATGGTTGGGTCAGATTATTTTGAGGGGGGGGGTATTTGTTTTTAATTGTTGTTCAAGTACAGTTTTCTGTCTTTTACTCCCATCCCAGGCCACCTACCCAGACCTCCCCACCTCCCTCCCATTTCCACCCCCCTAGTTTTTGTCCATGTGTCCTTTATATTTGTTCCTGTAAACCCTTCCCCTTTTCCCCTGAAATTCCCTCCCCTCTCTCGTCTGGTCACTGCCAGCCTGTTCTCTATTTCAGTGTCTTTGGTTATATTTTGCTTGTTTGTTTTATTGTTTAGGTTCCTGTTAAAGGTGAGATCATATGGTATTTGTCTTTCACTGCCTGGCTTATTTTGCTTAGCATAATACTTTCCAGTTCCATCCATGCTTGCAAAGGGTAGGAGCTCCTTCTTTCTTTCTGCTGCATAATATTCCATCATGTAAATGTACCCTAGTTTTTTGATCCATTCATTTACTGATGGGCACCTAGGCTGCTTCCAACACTTGGCTATTGTAAATTATTTCTATTATTACTTTTAGTTGTAGCCAATTCTGTGTTCACATACTGCAAATTAGTTTTTCATTTAACTTGTCCACTCTCAATCTTAGCTGAGATAAGCTGAGCAAAATAATTTCTGTCTAGTTTAACATTTGCAAAATGCTATTTCTATTGAGGACTTACAATTGCCACAGTTCTCTGTTATAAATGCAACCTCTATAAGTGGGCATGATAGCAAGGCAATGTTTTCACACATTGTACAACTTGACACATTCAACAGAAGCACTACCCATTTAGTTGAATTAAAAGTGAAACATCTTGCTGCTTTCTAGTATAAGCCTTTTAATAAGACTTACTATTTCACCTTTATATATACATTGCTTCACTTTTTAAAATTAAGTTAAAAGAGAAAAGGCAGAAAACCAGCAAAAATATAAGAATGTCCTTTACCTCCACAGGAAAATGTGGTTATATCCATTTTATTTGAAACATATGGCCCTGTTGGTATGGCTTTTGTTCTCCCTTTTGATAAAAATGTAAGTGTTAGAAATATTTTACTTCTTTTTTGGTTCTACTATACCTGCATCCAAGTGTGTTCCATTCCTGTCCTTTATGTTGTGAAGCCTGGGCACGTTCTTCCTTGCCAGGTGAAAGTCATAATTGTTAAAGATCACACAGAACCCCCGGGGCTTGCTTGTCATTCGGTAAGTTTTGTCCAATGTCTGAAAAACAAAAATGCAACCCAGGAGCTGACTCTGTGGGTCAAACACGAGACATAAATAAACAACTCCCTGGTTCAAGGTTAGGCTGTCCCCCAAGCCAGAGCGGGCTACAAGTGCTCATTCCACAGCTCTGACACAAGGTCACATTGTTTCCCTAATGAACTAGCTAGTTTCTACCTATTCTTCTCAGACAGGATCCTCAGACTTCTGCTCCACCGTTAGTGTGTAAAGTCAATGTCCCAAACTTGGGTCTTGAGAGCACTTTGCACTTATATTAGTATTGTCATCACAATGTATTATGTGTTTGCATTTTTGCTCAAGGCAGATGACATCTGTTGTTCAGGAGCTAGGACTTATCAATTTGTGAGAGCTCAGTCAGGAGTTGCTCAAAGAATGGATGTCTTAGGGTTCTCTTTGGGCCACCCTTCCGTGACCTTGTGTGTGATTTCCTTGGCTATCTCCTCAACTCATGCATGCTTTCAGGCTTACAGCTGAGAGCCTGCTCTTCACACATGACAAAGTGTCCCAGGACTTTTAAAGCTGATGGATTAATCTGGCTCTCAGGACCACAGTGAAGGTGAGAGATGCACTGGTCAGGCAGATCGTGGCTGTGCCGCGGGTTACAGTGTTCAGACTCCAGCATCTGACATTCACAGTCGGCGGTGGCCCAAGGCTGCCTTGCTTCTCCCAGGGCTATTTCAGAGCTCAGATACTCAGCATTTTGGGGGAAATTCATGCAGCTTCTCTAAGCAGAGAAAAGGGCTCTGGGCTGGGGTGGGACATGGAATTCTTGGCTCTATACATTAAGTAACCTTAAAACTTTGATCAAGTTACCTAATCTCTCTTGCACTCAGTATTCTTTGCTGTTCTTTGGGGACAGCACTGGTGGTGGGCTTTACTTGCAAAGTGCTACATGACTTTGGTTGATCCTTGATTTTCAGACTGAGAGAGGTCTGGTAATGTGCTCAGGAGCCCACTCGTAAATTGTTTCTCTCAAGCTTAATTTCAAGCCTTCCCCTGGACTCTTCTGCTTCCCGCCACAGAGAGGAGTGAGTGGGCTAATGAGTCAGGATGTGTTTGGTGAATTGCTGAAGGTTACATGAACAGAAGTGATTATGTCTAGAAAGGCAATTCCTGTACCAGCTCATTGAAGTGAGAATGCAGGGATGCCTAGATCATGAGCATTTGTCACTCACACCTAACACAACGGAGAAACAGTTTTGAAATGTCAAGCTTGGCTTTTTCCAGGGCTGCTGGACTCCTCCCCCAAGGCCCTCTCCCATTCAGGCTAATGCAGCCACTGAAAGGATTAAGTGGGAGACTTCTCATCTCTCTGCCATCCAACTGTTTCTATGTCTTTGTCTTTGGTTTTAAAACAAAAATTTAACACATAAGAAATTGAAGACATCACATATTTTTTAATTAAAAAGTCACCCTTTAAGCTTGTCCTTTTGTAAAATTTTTCTGCAGTTCTCAAAATATTCACTAAGTATTGTTCCCTTACTAGTTTGTCTGGAAGCTAACAAGGCTAACTAGAACCTGCAGTGTAAAGGAAAGAAGTAATGGGAGGGTTCCTTGTACCTGTTGTGACTCACTGTCCTCCTTGGAAGATTCGCAGTCCTGTTCTCTTGAATTGTCCGACACTGACAGCATCCTAAGTGACACCTCCTCCTCTACAAATGATGAAGACACATTTGGAATGACACATGGCAGAGAGGATACTTTAGGAAAGAAACATGTAGCACCTAGGACAACAGAAAGTCTCATTTAAAAGGAAAATTCACAGACTGCCTTGAACATAATATCCTTGAATCCACAAAATAAGTAAGATTCTCGCTACTGTCTAACTCTGCATCTATTGCAAACTTGCTGGCCTGAGGTCACAATCTGGGTCTTTTGACACATCTTTTAGTGTATAGAGCTGGTGACAACAAGTAGCCACCAAGCTTTCATCCTGATTAGGCAGCAGATCCATTAAAATGTGGTTATAAATGGTAGAGGTTGTAAAGAGGAAGGAATGAGGATATCAAAGAGTAAATTAGCTAAATAGTTCTTGAAAACATCTCAGGGTATTACCACTTGAAAATTCATCTCAACTTCTTTCAAGATGTTAAAATGTAAAGAAAAAAACCGTCCTGAGCAGACAAAATCAATTTAATCATACAAGCAAAGCTTAATTTAGCTTATGTTGCAAGACTAATTTGACCTTGCTCTTACACCTCTGAAAATCATGAGCAATACTTGAACTTTTTTCATATCTTTTTTCAAGTTTGATATGAGGTTAAATCCCCTATCTGGATCCCCACTGGTCAATCCCCTATCACTTGCAGAGATTCTAACATAACCAATCACAGTGAAGAATAAATAGTCACTGCTTTCTCACTCCTGAGCCTCATTCGATGTTTTGTTTTGAATACTTCCAGTTTGCAAACTTTTTAGTGTCTCTTTTAAAATACAGCAATAAATTTATATTAATTACTACAATGATTCATTGATTTTACTTTGGCTATTTATGAACCTCTGAACTGAAACAGAAACATAGTTTTTATTAAAAACACTGTGACACCCCTGGCTGAGTAGCTCAGTTGATTAGAGCATCATCTCAATACTCCAAGGTTGCAGGTTCAATCTCTGGTCAGGGCACAACCAATGAATCAACCAATGAATGAATCAATAAATGGATGAGTCAATAAATGGATAAACAAGTGGAATGAAAATCACCCCCCCATTTTCTTTCCTCTCTCTCTCTCTCTCTCTCTCTCTCTCTCTCAAAAATAAATAATTTCTTTCAAAAAACACTGTGACATAGGGGAATTTGTCAATTTAAAAATACATTTTGCTGTTTCACAGCTATCAGGCTGTTTCTACCTCTGCTTAATTCTTCATAATCATTGATTTTCTTCAGCAGGCTCTTGTCGACTTGGTGACAGATTCGTTTTAGGGTGTCCAAATTTCTTTCCCCAAGAAGGACCCTCTTCTCCATCTCCATGAAAATATCAAGCAAGTTCTAAAGGGAGGAGAGATAAAGTTGGAAGATGGAAATGGGCCATATTGGCTTTTAGATTAGATTTTTTTTCCTTTTACTTTCTCCTAGCCAAGGTCCACCCTAGCTTCCCAAGTAGACCCTCCTGAGAAGACATGTTGGTTTTACAAAGCCGGTTCACTACTAGGGAGGTAACTGTGTGGTTTCTGGCCCATAAATACAGAAGTGAGAAGATAGAGAAGAAGCCACATCAGTCCCCAGGACCCAGGCTCTGTGCTAAAACCATCTGTGGACACATTTACATGAAGGCTATGAAAGAACCATGGTCCCCATGGTGACAGCTTCAAGAACTGCCTCACACCCAACATTTCCTCTGGCAATACACACACACACACACACACACACAGTTCCAAGTTGTTTCAGAAGTGGGCAAAACATCTCAGCCACCTCCACAGGGTCCCACATTGGGTTGTGCCCCCACAACCAGCCCTCTGATAATTAATGTGAGCAACCCTTCACAGTATACTGAGGAATCACACCTACAACACTCCTGCTTGACAGCTTTCTTCTTCAGCCTAGGTTTTTTAAAAAAGGAGAATTCAGGTTGCTTTTACTGGAATAGCCTTCTCTGCCATCTCGGAAATCCCCTCTGGCTGACTCTTCCTCAGGACTGAGTCCTAACATGACCCCAGGTCTTACCACGTTGTCATCCAGTTTACTTTTGGAGATCTCCTTGTTCAAAAGAAACTTAAAAGATGGTAATTCCGATGTTTTTACATCTTCTGAAATCTGGAATAGCATAACCCTGTGGTGGGAAATGGAGACACTTGAGAAATGCTTTCTTGAATAATTTCCCATTTGATATATAGAGTCACAGCAGATTTTACTTGAATGGCCTCCCTTCAAAATAAACCTAGCTAATAACATGCTTTATGAGTTGAGTCCTTGAAAAGAGGCTAGTATAGTGACACAGAAGACTATTGACTCATGCCCAACACCCCTATCTTTAACAGAATGTAAAGTTCTGCTAACTTGGTCCATCAGTTAATTTCGTTAAGTGAATTGTGATTTTCCTTTGTCTTTGCTATAAAATCAAGATCTTTTTGCAATAAAAAAGTTTTGATTTTAGAAATTATGCTTTTCAAAATACAAATGAGATCATCACTTCCTAATTAAAACTTGTCAGTGTTCTCCCAGTCATCACCTTCAGTAGGAAGGCCAAACAAGTTCAAGAATACAGACCTTAGTGAGTTGAGCTCAGCCCACCTCCTCATCTCAGCCACTTTCACTACCCTCTTACATCTGTTCCCCAGACACACCCAGCTGCCCTGCCCCCACCCCTTTGTGCTGTGCCCCCACACTCCTATTCCCTTAGCTATCTCCAGACAACCACTAATCCACTAAGAGCTCAAGCACTACCTAAGTAACCTCAAGCACTGCATTCACTTCACTGTGCCTTTGGATTGCCCAAAGGTAACACATACAATTGTCTGTTTACAAAGCTGCCCAAGTCCCCTGAGAGCAGAATCCATGCCCTTTTTGTTGCCACGAGCTCAGAAGATTGTGAGGTACAGTGAGTGTCCAAATGCAAGGGACCCAGACCAGCAATGTTGGAACCTTGGTTCTACCACCTATGAGCAGTGTGACTTCAGAAAAACTGCACATTTTTTCTTCATTATAGACTGCAGATAATTCTATATCTACACCACTGGAATGTGTTGAGGATTGCATGAATAGGTTTATCTAGAGTGCTTTAAATCAATCTTTGGCAACACAGTTAGTGCTCAATACGTGGCAGTATTATTTTCTAACCTGCCATAGGCTTTTGGGGTATACTTGTTCAATGAACAAAGGAATGTTTTATAAGTCAGAAACCTATATATTATTATAGTGTAAAGCAAATAACTTCAATACAAAAACACATTAAAGTTAAATTATAAAATTAAAGGTCTGAGCCCTGGCTGCTTAGCTCAATGGATTGAGTGCAATCTGTGAACCAAAAGGTCCCAGTCAGGGCACATGCCTGGGTTGTGAGCCAGGTCCCCAGTGGGGGCCACACGAGAGGCAACCACACATTGATGTTTCTCTCTCTCTCTTTCTCCCTCCCTTCCCCTCTCTAAAAATAAATAAATAAAATCTTTAAAATAAAAGGTCTGAAAATAAAAATAGTGTAAGAAGAAGTTACTCAGTATTATCATCTGTTTTACCCTTCTTCTCATGAAATCTCTACCCTAGAAGAATTTCATTAAAGCTTTCTCACTTTGGCCAAGACTGGGTCCAGTCAAAAGCTGTTGCCCCTTTTAACTTTATTATAAGGTATTTTGCCCTCTCACTTTTCTCATTACTGAAACCTACTGGTTTTCCTGTAGCATCATTGTCTAGAAATAAACCTGGATAAGTTAGAAGATACTTACTGTATAAATAGAAATTATAATTTGAAAATTTTAATGTCTAACACAGGGGTGTCAAACTCATTTTCACTGGGGGCCACATCAATCTTGTGGTTGCTTTCAAAGGGCCGAATGTAACTTTAGGACTGCGTACATGTAACTACTCCTTAACTAGGGGCAAGGAGGTTGGCGCTGCCACGAGGTAGAAACAAGGTACCAGGCTGGACAAAACAAGGTGGAGGGCCGGATTCAGCCCATGGGCCTTGTGTTTGCCACCTATGGTAACGTTTTCTTATAAATGAATGCAACCATGCTAGCGTATTTTTTATTTACTGGCTAATGACCAAAAGTGATGAAGCAGCAGCAGACTATACTTGTGCTGACTCTTCTGTTACGAAACTAACATGCTGAATGTTGTAACAGAAAGATCCTGCCTCGTTAGGGACTCTTGACCCCCCCGCCACCCCCCCCCCCCCGCAGGCACCGGCAGTTTGCCTCAGTCTAACTCACGCGGCAGTCTAACTCAGCCTCCAGGAGACCCAGACAGTGGGCACAAGATGAAACCTCCCACCCTTCCTAGTTCTGGGGCTGGTTTGGGGGTTTGTTTGTTCATTTGTTTTTGTTTTTAAGATTAATTGGTACCTAATTTAAAATTCCTTAAAAGAACTTCACAATCTAAGGTGCCCTCTTAGCACAGTAGGCAGTGCGTCAGTCTCATAATCTGAAGAACTTCACAATCTTATTAAACCAAAATTATCCAGTATTGAATAGTATCCACCTTCCCTATCCTTCCCAATTCACCTTCACCCAGAACATGTCCATGTGACCTTATTTAGGAAAAGGGCCTTTGTTGTTGCGATCTCGTTAAAATAAGATTATACTAGATTTGAGTGGGTCCTAATCCAATGACTGGAGCCCTTATAAGAAGAGGGAAATCCAGACAAACACAAAGGGAAGAATGGAGGCCGAGATTGGACTGATGAGTCTACAAGACAAGGAACACCAAGGATTGCCTGTAACCAGCAGAAACTAGAAGAGAATGAAAAGGATTTTCTGTAGAGACCCCAAAAGGGACCAACCCTGTTGACACCCTGATATCAGACTTTTAACCTCCAGAACTCCGACAGATTAATTACTCCACTGTGTTACGCCATCCAGTTTATGGTATTTTGTTACAGCAATCCTAAAACACACATATACTCTCTCTTGTCATTTAAAATCAAAATGGTCAAGTTTCAAGCAGAGAAACATATCACAAGGAACATGCCAGAATCTCAGGTCTCTGAAAATAGAAAGACTAAGGCATTAATAGGCCAGTCAAGTAGAGGACAATGGTTTTCAGCCGTGACTATGAGGACTTCATATTGCACGGACTACAGATACTGAGAAGCAAGCAGAGACAGTGAAATGGGCCATAGCCAATGCTTGAGTAGAAGTTTTCTGAAAGGAAGCTAAAAATAACTTTAAGGAGTGTCTGAGAACGGGACGTTGAAAGAGAGAAGTTGGTAATACACTTCTATATTTAAAGTCTTAAGAATCACAAAGATGTAACTGAAGGTAACAAGTTATCATACCTAGCTTATCCACTCTCCCACGGGTGAAGAAAGGCTGAGCTGCAAGGCCTTTGGCAGAACTGACCCCCAAGTCACCATTGTTCTCCCAGCAGCAGCCAGCCTCACAGGGGCTAAGCAGTCTCGGACCTGGCCAATCCTGAACAACCAGCAGCATATGCCTCATTGGAGGACTTTGTAATGCAAGTGTGGATACAAGCCTGGAACTCCATTGAGAATTTCCACACTCATCCACAAGCAGGTGGAAGGAGGATTTCAGGTGAAAAGTAGAGATGCTTTATCCAAAATAAACAAAGTAAGTACACAATGTGGGCATCAGCAAAGCAGAAACACCAAGATAATAGATACATAACAGAAAGAGAGTTAGAACATTTAGAAAAGTCTATTTTAATGTCAGCGTACTTACAGGTAATGTTTCACTTCAAAAATTTTATTTTATGGTTTTAGCTTTTTTTTTTCCTGAATTATACACCAGGTCTCTAAATTTCTTAAATTGGTCCTGGTCAAACATCTTCCCAGAGGCCCCAAAGTCATAGTACATCGACAACCTGCATTCAGCCCTCCCACAAAGATGCATCCACTCCCCCCACCCCGCCCCGTGCTCACATTCTGGAGAATCTCCCCACCTGTATGCAGAGATCTGAGCCTTGCCCGGTATCTGAAGCTCCTTCTTCATCTCTTCTTCGCTGGTGTTCAGGTACTTTTTCAGGAGATCCAACCTACCAACTCGAAATAGAAGCTCCTTCAAGAAGGACAAGTTGTTTTCCTCCACCATTCTCTTTTCCTGGAGTCGCTGAAATAACATTAAGGCATCTTTGATGTGTTCCTGCTTCTTTTGTGGTATGTAATCCACACTTAGGAACTTGAGGGAAGCCACCTCATCACTGTTCAGATTCTCTCCAATTTCATATAGACAATTGTTGAGATCCATACTTGTCCTTAGTTGGTGGAATGTAGTTGTAGCCTAGGTCAAAAGACAACATTATATTCAGATGAAGAAGAAAAGTACCATTAACAGGTTTGTTCCCGCATCAAATGCCATTACATCTACTACAATACATGTCAGACATTTTGCTGTGGATACAGGGAATTAAAAACAAGCAGGCCAAGCTCCTGCCCTTACGTAGCTTCCTATTTGGGAAGACAGGCGCACAAACTAGTCCATGGTCAGAGAGTTGTGAGCAGGGTGCAGCAGGAATAATAGATATGAAAGTTCAGTTGGTAGCAACGGTTTTCAGACTCTTTGCAAAGTTGAAGAACTGTTTGTTGAACTCTTACTCAGGCTCTCCCTTAACTTAGAAGGAGGTCCTGGAGAGATATCATTTGAGAACCTTGAGCTAGGAAACCTTTAACTTCTCATCCGGCTTCATCTCCTTGACCCCACAGACTCTGTGCCTTTGTCACTTCCCTAACCTCAAACGACCTTAGCCTGCTTGGACCTCTTTCCTTCCAAAACAAAGCTGATAGGAGCGTTGATCTTTAAAACTCCCTGAATTTACTAACATTCTTGAATGAAAACACAAATTCCAACTATTACTGAGAGGTATTAGTCAGAGGTAATGAGCCAGGACCCATATATTTTGTTCATATGATGTTAAAATAGAAATATTTTTAACTTGGACATTAAGATGAGCTTTAATGAATTTTTAAAGTGTCCAAAAAGCTTTTGAAACTTAAAAAAAAAAACAAAATTTCCTGTCCGTATTCAGATTATAAAAACAATGTGAATATTTAAAATAAAGTTTCAACAATAAAAATTTTTTTATCCTCCCCAAATAAAATAAATTATAACATCAGTTCAGTTATCATTACATACAGCACGCACACACACACACGTAAAAATTAGAATCAGCCTGCATAACTGGGTGTGCACACCTGTTTTATTCCACTTAATATTTTAAATAAAATTATAGTCCTATAATTATTCTTCTTTGGTATATTTTTAATGTTTCTAGATTTTTCAGCATATGAGTATATCAAATTTTATTTTAAGCAATTTCTATTTCCTTATTGTTAAAAATAATGTTGCGTTGAGAGGCTTTTTCATATATCCTATACATATCTCTGATTATTTTCTTCTTAGAACTGGAATTATAGGGCAAAACCTTTTTTCTCCCTTTTAACTTAGAGCTTACAGCATTGTTTAGGGAAGTTTTCTTAATTCAGGAAACTGAAGAGACAGTGTCTTGGAAAGATACACTTTGCATTGAATTCACAAGGGCTGCAAAGCCAAGATCTTTCACTGCAAAAAGCAATTGATTATCATGAAAATACCTTTACTTAGGAAAGATATCTTAAATAAGGGGTCAGCACCTAATAGCATATATTCAAAATGCAACAAACAAAAACTGCTGGACATACAAAAGGACAAACTAGCAAGCTCATTCCTCAAATCGCACTCTATAGAAACACACCTGTGTGCTCAACAGGGTATGTTCATGGAGTCTCATCACAGCATGATGGGTAAACCCGAACAACTAGAAATATCTTACATGTCCTGTAATAAGAGGATGGTTAAATAATCTAAGGTATAGTCATACTACACAATATTAGACAGAGGTTAAGGAAATGCATTCCTTCTGAAATAAAAGTGGGTAGAGATTCAAGATATTATGATGGCAGTGAGGAAAATATGTTGCAATATAGCAAAAAAACATACATCTACTTTTTAAAAACATTCAAAGCAATACAATTAGATTTTCAGTGATTACAGACAACTATGTAAAAACAAGGTCTGGATACCAAATTTATAAAGTTGTTCCTTCTGGGAAATGGAGGAGAAAACTACAACTTGGGGGTGAAGGAGTCAAGAAAAGGGGTTACCTTTTCCTGTAATGTGTTAAAGAGGAACTATGCAGCTATTATCTGTGTAAATGAAATTAATGTTAAAATCCTAGCTTGAGTGTGTTCCGTGGTTAAGGGAGTGAACAAAGTGAGTGGAGGAGGGCAGGAGATGAGCCTCTTTGGGAAGCTGAGGGCAGATATCACCAGGCGAGGATATCACGTCATGGAGGAGTGACACAATCACATCTGTGTTCCTTAAAGAACACAAGGATATCCCTTCAAGATGGCAGTATAGGTAAACAAGGTACTTGTCTCCTCGCACAACCACATCAAAATTACAACTAAACTACAGAAAAACCATTATTCAGAACCACCAGAAATAAAACTGAATGGAAGTCTTACAACTACAGAATTAAAGAAGAAACCACATCAAGACTGGTAGGAGGGGTGGAGATAAGGGGTGTGGCAGATAAAAATCAGGAGGGAAATCTTGGGAGCGAGGGGTCCCAGCACCACACTAGGCCCTCCCTGTCCAGAGGTCCAGTGCCAGGAAGATAAGTCCCCATAACTTCTGGCTGTAAAAACCAATGGGGTGGGCCCTGGCTGGTGTAGCTCAGTGGATTGAGCTCGGGCTGCGAACCAAAGTGTCGCAGGTTCGATTCCCAGCCAGGGTACATGCCTGGGTTGCAGGCCATGACCTCCAGCAACTGCACATCGATGTTTCTCTCTCTCTGTGTCCCTCCCTTCCCTCTCTAAAAAATAAATAAATAAAATCTTTAAAAAAATGGGGTGAAGGCTGTGGAAGACAAACTGCTAGAGTCCCAGGCAGTTCCTCTGAAAGGGCCCATGCATACCCTTTCTCTGACTCACTCTCTCTGACTCAGACTCACTCTCTCTGAGCTCCAGCACAAGACCAACCAATTGAAAGGCACCAGAGACACACGGGGAGGAACTGTATTGTCCAGTAGCAGAGCAAGAGCTGGGGGGCAGCTTTCTCCCAGACAGAAGTGCTGGCAGAGGCCACTGTTCCTTTTCTGAGCCCTCCTCCAACAGAGTGGGCAGAGGGGCACCATATCTGAAACACCATCAACCTGGCTCACACCGTTTGTCCCACCAAAGCTGTTTCCAGTGGTTTTTCCATGTGAATGGCTTGTCTTGGCTCATGCTTCAGATTTTTCTAAATTCTCTCAAGCAAGTAGCATCTGGCCTCAGCATGTCCTGTGCCTATTGCTAAGTGGCCCCAGTTCAGCACTGACAGCAACCGGTCTTGGTTCAAAGTTTGGACTCCCTAAGGCACATTCAAACTCAGCACAAATAGCAGCCAACTGTAGATTGCTTTGTAGCTCATGCCAGTTGGCCTCAGTCAGAACACAGGTGGTGGCTGACCTTGGCCTGCACCTCCTGGGAGTTCCCCTGAATACCTGATGGACAGCTTCAGACCATGTTGGAGCACCATTACCCAAAAACTTCCACAAGCAACACACCCAAGGGGCAAACTCAGTGGGCACCAGAGCTCTACTGAAGTAAGTGCTGCCTCGTGAGGTGGACCCCTGCACAGCTGATCCTCCACAGTGGTCAGAGGTTGGTGGTCAGGGGTCACAGCAAGTCCTTGCAGTTGATTGGCCTGGGTAAATCCCCCTCATTGCCAACAGCAATCAAGGCCCAACTACAAGAGGAGGATGTATATAGCTCACTTTGTGGGCACACCTCAAGTACTCAACTTGAGTGACAGGGGAGGCTGTGCCACAGGACCCTATATGACACCTACTACATTAGGCCATGCTACCAAGACAGAGAGTCATAGCAGCTCTACCTAATACATAGAAACAAACACATGGAGGCTTCCAAAACATGGAGACAAAGAAACATGTCCCAAATGAAAGAAGAGAACAAAACGCCAGAAAAAGAACTAAACAAAATGGAGACAAGCAATCTCTAGATTCAGAGTTCAAAACACTGGTTATAAAGATGCTCAGTGAACTTAGTGAGAACTTCAACAGCATAAAAAAGTCATGGAAACCATAGAAAAGAACCAGTCAGAAATGAAGTATACATTAACTGAAATGAAAAATAATTTACAGAGAATCAACAGTACAGTGGATGAAACTGAGAATCAAATCAGCAATTTAGAATATAAGGAAGCAGAAAACACACAATCAGAACAGCAAGAAGACAAAAGAATCCCCCAAAATGAGGATCCTCTAGGACAACTTCAAGTACACCAACATTCACATCATGGGGTTGCCAGAAGAAGAAAGAGAACAAGAAATTGAAAACCTATTTCAAAAAATGACAGAAAATTTCCCTAACTTGATGAAGGGAATAGATATACAAGTTCAGGAAGTACAGAGAGTCCCAGACAAGATAAACTTCAAAGAGGCCCACAACAGGACACATCATAATTAAAATATCAAATGTTAAAGACAAGAGAGAATCTTAAAAGCAGCAAGAGAAAAGCAATTACCTACAAGGGAGCTCCCATAAGACCATCAGCTGATTTCTCAAAAGAAACTTTGTAGGCTAGAAGAGGTTGCCAATAAATATTCAAAATGATGAAAAGCAAAGGCCTACATCCAAAATTACTCTTCTCAGCAAAGCTAACATTTAGAATCGAAGGACAGATAAAGCACTTCCCAGATAAGAAGAAGCTAAAGGAATTCATCATCACCAAACTAATATTATACAAAATGTTAAAGGGTCTCTTCTTTAAGAGAAAGAAGAAGATCAAAAATATGAACCACAAGATAGCAATAAATACATATCTATCAACAATTGAATCTAGAACAAAATTAACAAACAAGCAGAACAAAAACAGAATCATAGATACAGAGAGCTTTTTGATGGTTGCCAGATGGGAGGGGAGTCAGGAGGATGGGTGGAAAAGGTGAAAGGATTAAGAAGTACTAATTGGTTGTCACAGAATAGTCATGGCGATGTAAAGTGCAGCCTATAGTAGCCAAAGAATATATATACATGACCTGTGGATATGGACAATGGTGTGAGGATGGCTTGAGGGAATGGGGGAGGGGTTGAAAGGAGGGAAACAAAGATGTAAAAACTGGGACAACTGTAATAGCATAAATCAAATATAATTGAAACAAATTTTAAAAATACAAAAAATTAGAACTTAAACTTTCAAAAGAACTTTAGAGAATTCAAAGAACTTACTTTTTCCAAAGTAGCAGGAATCTTTCACACATCTCTCTCAGAGACTGAAAAATCTAGTACAGTAACTGTAAGAAGACACAGCAGATCTATGTAACACAATTGACAAACTCCATCTAACAAGCATTTCCTCCCAGTGGAAAATACACATCCATTCAAACACAAACAAAATATTCACGAAAACTGTCCACAAAGAAAATCTTAACAGATTTACAAAAAGCAGAAACTATATAGTCTGTGTTCTCTGGCTATTAGAAGTTAACAATAAAATTAGAAATTAACATATTAATTAGAAGTTAACAATGAAAAAATGGCCAAATCAAACACACTATAAAAGAGGTTATCCACATTTAGATGGCTTTTAAACACATGGTGTTAGAACAAATGAGTAGACTTCTAGAATAAACTGAAATTAATCCTAATGAACACCTTACATCAAAATAAGCAGCAGTTGGATCAAAGATTTAATCCTTAAAGTTAAAATGCTAAGGAAAGAAACATAAAAGAATTTTTAAAAATAATTTTACAGAGGTGAAGAACCTTTCCAAGTATAACAGAAAACCTGAAAGTCATTAAAAAAACATTGGTAAGTGTCTTTAAATAATAACTAAAATATTCTGCAAACAACAATTTAAAAACAAATAAATCTTGCACTGGGAAATATGGACAGTAATATGATGTATAATAGAAAAGGAATCAGTTTCCTAAAATAGGGGTCCTAGAAGCCAGTTTAAGAAAAGAGAGTGTCAGACCAACCATCCAATGCACAAACAGGCAAAGATCATAAGCAGAGAGTTCAGAGAAAGGTAAGAACCATTAGCTTTATATTTTTATAACAATGGCTTTTTCACATTTGAAAAGATGTTCAACATCATTCACAATAAATTTTTAAAAACAAATTGGAATTACAAAACACCACTTTCAGCTACCAAACTGGTGAAATACAAAACTTGTAATACACAGTATTGTGAGACAGTGAAAATAAAAATAGAGAGGTGGGTGACTTGGCCGTATCTATCAAAACATAAAGTGTGCATATCCTTCGACCCCACAAGGTAGCTTCCAGGTGTTTTCCCCTACTTTAGCTTAAACATCAGCGTACCAAAACATACGTGGAATGTTATTCATGGCAACATTGAGTAAAATAACAAAGGAGCAGAAACAACTGTTTAATCAATATCAGAAACATTAAATAAGCTTTAACCATCTGGTGGTGCTCTATTCAACTACTAAAAAGAATGGAAAGAACAACACAGTTGTATATGTGTGATCTACATAATGTAGTATTGAGTGGTGCATAGGTTTGTATAGTCACAGATCTTTGAACAAAACACACAGGAAGCCACTCAGTAGTTGCACAGAGAAGAGGAAATGGAGGCCTGGGAGTGAGTGTGGGAAGGCCTAGGAGTAAACAGGAAACTGAAACACGTTTCCCCATTTAAAATTTTTACCATGCACATTATAAATGAACATATATCTAAATTAAAATCTCCACTTAAAAACACACTTTCACTCATATACTTGAATGGGTCTAAACCAGGTCCAGCCCTGTTTGGTGCCATTAGGTTCAGTGTCTTTAAAATTTTAAATCAGTTCTAATCACTGTTTAAACTTTATTTTACAGCCCTGGCTGGTGTGGCTCAGTGGATTGAGCACCGGCCTATGAACCAAAAGGTCGCCAGTTGGATTCCCAGTCAGGGCACATGCATCACAGGCCAGGTCCCCAACAAGTGGGGCATGAGAGGCAATCACAGATTGATGCTTCTCTCTCTCTTTTTCTTTCTCCCTGACCCTCTCTAAAATAAATAAATAAATAAAATCTTAAAAAAAAAAAGCGAGAGTCACACGAGCCACTGGGAGCATCCAATAGAGAAAGTTTACAGAACAAGATGTGTAAACCTCATTTTCAGAATAAAATCAACCAAATAGTCTAATGCAAGCAGCATTTTCTTGTTTTCCTCCACAGTTATTTTTTCTGATGATAACAACCCTTACTGTTTTCAGTTTAGAAAATACAGAAAAGATTAAAATTAAAATTAAAATTACCTAGAATTTCATCATCCAACGATAAGCACCTAATATTTTACTGTCTTCCCTACCAAATATTTTGTGTGTATAAATATATATATGCATGTATATTCTCCCTTAAAATTGAACATACCATATTTCTGAGATACAAGTGTATTTTTCTACTAGTAATATTTCACATACATCTTGATGTCTTAATTTTTCTTCTACAGTATGGATTTCAAAATCTGTAAAGCATCTACTTGTATGAATGAACCATAATTTATGTAATCAGTCTCTGGTTATATTTAGGATGATCTTAACATGCAAATCTCCTTGTACACTCTGATTATTTTCTTAGAGTAATTGCCTAGCAGTAGTATTACAGAGTCAAAATGAATAAACATTTTTAAAGTTTTGTTCAATAGTGTGTACATATACATATATAAAAATATTCATTTGAACATTTTATATATAATGCATTAAAGGTGGAGGAGAGGATGGGAATGGAAACACTTCCAGGAAGTTTTATTTTGCTTTTGATTATCTATGAACAGCATTGGTAAACAATGAATTTACACAAAGATATTTGCATTACATAATATATAAGTACATTAAATATTCTATAACATATAATTATATTAAATAGTTTATAATGTATTTATGCCCAAAAGAATGTAACTATAAATAAATGTCCATGTTGAAATACATGTTTATAAAATATAATCCATATGAATATAAAAATATTTTTTCTTGTTTCATTTTACTACAAGTCTCTGATAAAATTGCAATTATCATCCTCACTTTACTATTGTGAAAAATCAGTCTAAAAATAAGTCAGTAAGAAATGAGTCAGACTCAGATTTGAGTATTTCACTCGAGGTTTCAATGACAGACTCTGCAAAGATTATGATTTTATTCTAATTGCAGTTGAAAGCCAGTGAAGGAAAATATATAATCATAATATTTTTAAAGATTAAAATTATTTTAAAACATTAAAAGACCAAAACCTACCCTGAAACACAAAAACAGAAATTCTTAACAAATCCACTATAGCAGAGAGAGGGTCAGAACTTTACAAACCAAGCTAGTATGTGCTGTAGCCTGAATGTAGACCCCAGCGTCTAAATTCCAGAGTCACGGCTCCACCACTGCCTCATATGCCATGATTTAATGACAAATAAATTTCACCTAGTCACAAACAATCCTTCTAGTGATCATCCTAGCAGCATCCTAGCTCTTCTAGGGATATGGATAACTGGGGAAAATAAACCCAAAACTTACATTAATCTTCTGAGACAAAAACCTGTATCTCATTCAAAGGTCAACAGTACTAAAGTGGCTCTTAGGCCCAACCCCTAATAATGTGCAATTCCCTCCCATCCAGGATGAGCACACCAAAGGCAGGACTCCCCCCGAAACTGCCAGATGTCCACTCTGCACACAAACACTGTTCACTCCAGGGCCCTGAGACCACCGCTTTCACACAGCCTAGTAAAAGTGTTCAAATATCAACAGAATGTATAACCAACCCTATCAATTTCAAACTGAACAAAATTCATAACTTCACCCATAAATGCTTAACCCCACAAGTATGGTCTCAAATTTTGTCAGTTTATGCTTGTCATTATATTATTCTCTGTACTGCTTTATACTGTCCTAATTTCTAAAAAAATAAATAACTGAATTATTAGGACTTGTGCATGTCACATGTGTGTTTGTGTGTGTGTTCATGTTAGTGTGTATATACATGTGGGTGGCTATGTATTGACGAAGGGTTAGCTGGAGCAGCAAAGTCAGTTGAGATTTAAATTTTGGTTTCTATTCCTCGACAAGTTTCACCAGCATAAGGATGAGACCTCTCTATAGAGCGCTGTACTTGGAGCATTCCAGAAAAAAAACCAGGAAGGCATCACCCTAAGCTAGAGCGGCCTTCAGATCTAGAATCTGTGGGTCTAGCGGCTCTAGAGGGATTGTTAATGGTTTTCCCACCTACGCTCAAATACAAGACTCACTTCCATGGGTCCAGGACACCAGATCCCAACCTCAGCAGCCTAGAAAACTCTAGAATCAAAGGTCTTTCTCCCAAAAGGCCCAAATGACTTACCGAAGGCAAATACTGGGACCCTCACAGCTGGCTGGCTTTGGCCCGTGCAGCTAAGGGAAGTGTACAAACTGAATGAAGGATTAAGAGCACTTACTTCCTGTTTTAAACCAAGTTGCTCCTCCCACAGCTTCTAGAAACATAAAACATGTTTGGCTCTGGCCATGTGACTATGGGTGAATCATTTTATTTAAGGGGCCTCATTACCATATCCCCAAACTGGAAAGTTGGATTGAATACTAACTAAAAATGCTTTTTTTTTCATATTTCAGGAATTTACAGATTTTTCTGGTTTTATTATTAATGTTTTCATTCAATAAATATTAATTGAGCAATTCTGAGAGATATTGAGATCTGGAAATGATGGGGTCCCTCACCACAGCTCACAGAGGGTCTGCTAACTCTCACCACTAACCCTCATGGTTTTCCCATTGACACTCAAATACAATGACCAGTTCCACGGGCCCCAAAGCCACCAGATCTCACCCTCAGTGATCTAGAAAACCCTAGAATCAACCAGCCAGCCTTACCAAAGAGGCAAATCCTGGGGCCTTTGTTATGGTCTGAGCCGGGAGGTACAGCAGTGAACAAAACACACATTAGCCCTGCCCTTTTGCTGTGAATCGGTTGAAGTGTTTTCTGGTGTTAAAAGTAGAAACAACATCAACAAAAAGATCAAACACCTCTCTTCTTTGTAACTGCCTTTTTTCTTTGCCTAGATGGAATGAGCTTTCGGGGACATAGACCCATCTTCTAGCTAATAGGATAAAGTGAGGTGCCTGGAAGTGCCTCTTCCCCTGTACAGGGCTAGGTAAAGGTGCCACGGTTACATCGAGGTCCTTTGCTGCCACTTGATTCTGCTCACCAAGTCTGAATGAAAACACAGCAACAGAATGAAATTCTGTTAGTGGCTAAGTCCCAGCCAGGAGGTGTCCCTAACTCTTTCTTGATGCCATTGGAGCCTCCATCCCAGCATTTGTCTCACCATTTTGTAACTAGTTCTTGTCCTAGGCTTTGAGCTTCACAGGGCAGAGTCTGCATTTTCATGTTCGTGTTCCCAGGACCTCTCATGGGACTAATAATATCTAGAACATGTTTCCTGCAAATCGACAAGAAAAAGAAACCCTGTAGACAGACGATGGATATGGAGTTCCCTGATGGGGTTACTCAAATAGCCCAAGTGTATGTGGTGATGCTCCAGCTTGTCAGGAACGTGGGAAATGCAAAATAAAGCAATGAGATCCCCACTTCAGACCTATCATGTTGGGAAAGGTTTGCAGGTTGGATCAGGCCAAGGACTGGAGGGCACGTCCTCACGTAAGACTAGAGAGACTGCCCACCATGCAAATACTATGCAGCGGTTAGAAAGTAGTGCCTGGCAAAATACACAGAAAGCGAATATACAAAGTGCTTACTTTAAAGAAAAGGAATGAGGAACTAATACAAGTACTATGTTTGTAACAATAATTGGTAACACTTTTGGGTACGGAGCCAGTCGCCGTTGAAAGCGGTTAAATGCACAGCTCACATCCTCACAATCTCCTCACGATGCGGCATGAACCTCGTTTAATGAAGTGGAAACAAGCACAGAGAAAGTACTTACTTGCTCCAAGTCATATAGTTAAAAAACAGTGTATACACACAAAGCAATGATACATTTTGCAAAGATACAGATCAATTCAGGGATATGTATCAAAAGATTCAAAGAGTTGTTTTGGGGGAGCTATCAAAAGGAGTAGGAAGTGGGGATCAGGAAAGTTCCTGGAACAGGGCAGGGGGAGGAGGGGACTGTGGGCCTTAGAGCCTGAGGACCACGGGCACTGGGATGTGAGAAAAGAAAGTTTCACTCAGCCCTCTGTCCCAGGACTGAATGGAAAAGAAAAGAGAAAAATATAAAGCCTTGGGCAATCTCCACACTGATCTGGCAGGAGAGAGACACTGTCTACACTTGTGGCCGCTGAGGAGATTCTTAGGAGACTGAGACAGACATGTAGCAGAGGAACTGGAGATTTCCAGAGTTAAGAAGTAGCAAGGCCGGTGGCTGTGGTTCCAAGAGAAACCCCACTCGAAGATCCTGGCAGAACCCACAGGTGTCCTCGCTCAGCAAGTCCCAGCAACGTGGCATCCAGAAGCTGCTTCTGCACCAGGCACTCACCTGCTCCACCCTGTCCCAGCAACATCACAGTCACCAAGTCCCCGATGCCAAGATGCCCCCGAACTGCCTAATTCCACATGCTCAAATTCCTAAGACTTGTCCACACAACCAGAGAAAAATCCCTTAAGACAAAGCAGGAAGAAAGGGGAGAGAATGGAATTGCTCCAAGAAGTTTTCTTTCACTTTCAATCCTTCTACCAGGCTCTTCTGTCTCTTCCAAAACTCACTTCCTGTTTCTCTGTTCTGCACATTCTTAATTTACCAGCAAATTCAGCAGGGCTTGAAAAAAATCACAAGAGAAAACTGTGAAAGCATTTACCTGCTGCAGAGGACCAGAATCTGGTGTTCAGTGAGAGAGAAGGAAAATTCCTCAACATTAAGAGCTAGATGATAAACTTTATTTCTCAGACAGAACAGAGGTGACTCACAAGAAATGTTTCTTATTTAAAGGAACAGATGCCCAATTTCCAACCATTCAGAAGAGGGTGATGACAACCAGAAAGCTGGACATGCTTTATTGGAAAGCAATTATGCGGACTACATTTAGCATTAATAACCCCTGTAACTCTTAAAGACAGCCTTCAGAGTGCCTGAGGCAAGTAAAATGCCATTTCCCCTTGAAAGGGGTCTGGGGAGAGGAATTGTCCCTCCCTGTAGTAGCTCAGATCTGCTCTGAAGCCCTGGGTCAGCTCCTCAGATCAGATGGCAGGGGCTCTTCTTGGGTCAAAACAGGCCTCTAGCAGAAATGTGGGAAGATTCTGCACAAAAAGGCAAGGGTGGGTCTGGCCTAGCCCTAAGTAGGGATAACAACACTGCTCGCAACCCTGGCCACGCTCTTAGGTTAGTAGTCACCAGTGCCCGTCCAGCACCCCGGGAGGTGCTAATGTGGAGGCGGTCTGTGACCCAGGACCCTGAGCTCCAGGCCTTCCCCAGCTTTCCTTCGTTCTTTATCTGCTCCTCATGCTCTGCCTGTTTCCTGTTTGAATTTTTGAAAACATTTCTCTCCTTTTTGTTCACATCTTCTATATTTCATAAACAAAACACTGGCAATAGTGCAAAACCCAGATGTTGTGTCCTTTGCATAAAGTACCTCTAATTCTCACAGCAATGCAGGGTTTTGTTATCCCAGGTTGTGGATGAGGAAACTGAGGCTCAAACAAAGATTCAACTCAGTCCTGTTGGACCAAACACAGGATTTTCCCACAATAACATACTAGCCTCCCTTCCCCCAACAATTAGGATTTGAAATCAGTAATGTGGCTGGAAAAACAATGAATTTAAACTAATTGCACAAAGGTCAGAAGGTCTTCGGATTCTCAGTCACCTAAGAAAAAGGAGTTGGCCTGATGGTAACAACTAACATTTATCAAATATTGTATGTGTCAGAGTCACCTCAACTAGCTCATTTCACCTCAGAAGTGGATGCTGTTTTTGTTCCCATCTTGTGGATAAGAAAACTGAGGCCTTGGAAGGGCTGAAAGACTTGGCCAATGAGCTAGTCAGTGACAGAATGAGGTCTGTTTGTTGGTGAGACCCTGAATGGTTAATCGCTGTCTAAATGTTAACACTTAGCCATGGTTCTCAACTTGACTGCAGAGATTCTCAACTAACTGGAGAGGTTTCAAAAATACCAGTCTTCAGGCCCCAGCTGCGAAAGTCCTACCTGAGCACAATTATGGGAGGTGAAACAAATTAAGCACTTAGAGTAGTGCCCGGGCTTTCCACTATCCTCAGTAAACATTCACCACCATTGTTACTTAATTCACATCTCTAAGGTGGCTATTTTAATCATTAGACATAGTGTACAGATGAGGAAATTAAGTTCAGTGTCAATCAGCTGACACATGGCAAGGCCTGCGAATAAACCCAAGATCGTCCCACTCAAGAATTTATGCTCATCCTCTAGTTCACACCTGGGCCCAGCCTGGCAGAAAAGGATGTGCCACTGGAGGTGTGAAAGTTAATAAACAGAAAACTCAGTTAAAATAGAGTCAGGAGGATAGAAGAGAGAACTCTAAGGGGCGTGCCATTGTCCTCACAACAGGAAGAGGAGTACCTTGCATCTCAAACAGGAAGTGGTACTACATTACTACCTCTGCAGGAGGAAGAAGAGATTCCTCCTTGCCCAGTAACAGCTCAGCCAATGGGAGACTACCATAGCTCAGCCAATGCACAGTCATTATACTTTGAATATTTAGTTTGTTTTGACAGACTTCTTTACACCAGCACCTCCCAACTCCATAACGCAAAAAGGAGTGTGCCTCTCCTTTGTTCTCTGGACTCGCATGCAATAGGCTATTAGACCACATGTCCTGAATTTCAGTTCTTTGCTGTTCCTGAATGAAACCATTTCACTGGAGAAATATCTAGTTATCTATTTATTAAAGGTCAACAGAGGCATCCAGGGGCCCATGCTGTGGATAAGTGAGGAAAAAGGGGGGTGTCTTGGGGCTTCATCTTCTGTCATTCGTAAGGTATTGATCCTAGGCTCCCCTGTCTTATTAACTCTTTTAAAAAAGGAAGATGAATAATTAACTAGTGAGTCATGAACCTGAAGTTAAATTCCTATTGTGATTCGCAAGGATCATTATTAAGTCTCTTGCTCTAAACGGTTTCTTGCCTCAATCTTGAGTTATATGTCTGTGTCTGTTTTTTATTGAAATGAATGGCCTTTCATCCTAGGGTAGCTAGAAAACCTGGAGGTGTTGCAGTAGCAGCAGGATTGGGGGGAGGTGGTGCCCACCTAGTACAGGGCAAGAACAGACTCGTTTGACTGAATCTCCAAGCACTTTCCAAACCCTGAATCTCAGCTCCCACCTGAAGGCCTGCTCTGGAGATTCAGATCTACCAATCTGCTGAAAGCAGGTTTGGATCTGTAAGCCTCCCTAAGACAGCCGAGCAGGACTAAACCTTCTCTCAACTCGCTGCAGCACACCCTTCCCATTCATCTGAATTTGATCCACAGGACCATAGTCAAGGATAAATGCTGACAATGAAACAGAAATCTTTTGAACGTGCATGTTTTTTGTTGCTTCTGCATTAATTTGCACATAACTGACCATTAGCCCTGTCCCCACCCTTCTTTGACTGTAGCAGCTGGGCTTGGTTCTGGGCCTTAGACACCCTCCAGGAAGTAGTGACAAAAGGAAAAAAGATTGCATTCCAATCAATCTATTTCACCTCCTCCTGGGCCTTGCTTGAAGAGACTCAACTAGTTGTTTAAAAGTTTTTAACCACTGGGATTTGAAATTTTTTTAATTTTTGTTTTGGTATTGAGATGATTAGGCAGTCACCAACTTCAACATATATGTTCTGCAACTTGCTGGTGGCCAGTACCTGCCCCCTCTACTTACCAGAAACTACTGCAGACAAGACCTATACCACTGATCTAGAAAGGAGGAAACTGAAATAATTGTTGGGTTGCAATACCAATATTCCTGTCACCAATCTAGCTTTTTCAATATTTTCTTGAAGGTCTGAACATAGACAAGGTGAGAGTCTTGTCTATGTTCTTCATGTTCTTACTTCACTGTTTGTCCCTACCCAAGAAACAGAGTACCTCAAACCCTAAGCACAAGTGTAAAGAGTCATTTAAAAAATTTTTATAACAGTAAAATATACGTAACATAAATTTTACCATTCTAACCACTTTTAAGTGTACAAGTCAGTGGCATTAAGTACATTCACACTGTTGTGCAACGGTCACCGCCATCCAAGAGCACTTTTAATGATATAATGAGAACACTTTCATTAAGCAGGGTAGATTTTTAAGCATCTTTATTGAGATATAATTCATATATCATACAATTCAGTGGGTTTTCACATTTTCACAGAGTTGCGCAATCACATGCAGAACATTTGCATTATCTCCCAAAGAAACCCAGTACCCCTTGGCAGTCACTCTGACTTTCCTCACAGGCTCCCAACCCTAAGCTATTTTCTACCACTAATCTACTTTCTTTTTTAAATTTATTGATTTTTAGAGAGAGGAAGGGGGAGAGACAGAAAGAGAAACATCAGTTTGTTGTTCCACTTATTTATGCCTTCATTGGTTGCTTCTTGTCTGTGTCCTGACCAGGGGGTCAAACTCAAAACCTTGTCATAGCAAGACAACACTCCAACCAAATGAACTACCTGGCCAGGGCAAACACAATACAGTTTTAAAACATTTTCCCTACTGTGTCATTTGGCCGTCATTGGTAACTACATTTTTTAGTATAAGACAGGCAGGGCAGGTGTTATGAAGACATTTAGGAAACCAAAGCTCAGAAAAGTGAAGTGTCTTAGCTGAAAGAAAGGATAGTCTTTTCATGAAATTGAAACTGGTATAACTGGACATCCATCTGTAAAACAAACAAACAAAATCCTCAAAACAAACGAAAAAACAAAGAACCTAGACCCTGACCTTACACCTTTCACAAAATTTAATACAAAAAGGATCTCAGATATAAATGTGAAACACAGACTTCTAAAACTTCTAGAAGGTATCACAGGAGAAAACCCAGGTGACCTTGGATTTGGTGATGAGTACTTATGTATAACATTGAAAATACAATCCATGAAACAACATAATTGAGAAATCAGATTTTATTAAAGTTAAAACATCTGTTATTCAAAGGAGAATGAAGAGACAAGCCACAGAGTAGGAGAAAATATTGACACATCTGATAAAAAACTATTATCCAAAATATACAAAGAATTCTTAAAACTCAACAGTTAGAAAACAAACAACCCAATTATGAAGTGGGCAAAACAGCTGAATAAACACCTCACCAAAACAGATACACAAACGGCCAAAAAAAAAAAAAAAGGAAAAGATGTTCAACATAGTATGATTTAGGGAATTGCAAATTAAAATGACAATGGAACATTGTCATACACTTTCTACAGTCAAATAAAATTCAAAACATTGACAACACCAGATGCTGGTGAGAATTAGGAGCAATGAGAACTCTCATTCATTGTTGGTGGGAATGAAAACTGGTACTGCCACTCTGGAAGACAGTTAGATAATTTCTCACAGAACTAAACATATTCTTGCCATACAATCCAGCAATAATGCTCCTAGATATTTGCCCAAATGAATTGAAAACTTATGTCCACACACAAAACCTGCACATGAATGTTTATAGTAGCTTTATGCATAATCCATAATTGGCAAAACTTGCA